AAGAAAAAGACATTTGAGATTTATTTTTCAAAATGTAGGCCTACCCCTCAAATATCTTTTTCTTTTTCATTTAAATGAACTAAAAGGATGAGCGGTGTTGAAGAAGAAAATGAAAATGCAAACAGGATTATTGATTACTAATTTCATTTATGAGTCAAAAAATGCAGCCACATTCTTAAAATGAAAAAGCATTTCTGGAAATGCTTTTTCATTTTCAAATTTTACATTTCAAATTGAATTTTGGTATGTATTTGCTGGGGTACATTGTGAAAAATAAATCTCAAATGTCTTTTTAATTTTAATTAAGTAAAAGGATGAGCGGTGTTAAAGAAAATGAAAATGCAAACAGGACTATTGATTGCTAATTTAATTTATGAGTCAAACAATGCAGCCACATTCTTAAAATGAAAAAGCATTTCTGAAAATGCTTTTTCATTTTAAATATGGAAACGATTTGCTTCCATACAGAACCGCTTGAATTTCAAACTAAATCTTGGGCATTTTTCTGCTTCAAGCTGTGCCGATATCTCCGGAAGAGGATTAGGGCCATTGAAAAAAATAAAACAAAAGTTGTTTTTTTTAAATATTTTTTACATGTTTTTTAAACATTTCCATGTAATATGGGGAAAAAAAGTCAGAATTCTGACTTTAATCCCTGAATTCTGACAGCTAACAAACATGTTAGCATCAAGCCGTAGCCATGTCTGTTTTAGGGACTAAACCAGCTCTCTTGTTTTAATCACCTTCTGCTCTTCCATTAATGAAACAGCATCACCAGGGACGCCTCAGGCACGTAAAAAGTCGCCTTATTCCACCATTTTCCACCAATGTGTTACTGGCTCTCCAAAGCAGGTCATCTTTGTCGGTGAAGCTGAGTGCTCCACATCTCTTCCTTCATGGTGCCCATCAGAATTCTGACTTTTTTCTCCTATTAAACTGAAATAAAATGTAAAAATCTGTTAAAAATCTTTTTTTTTGTTTTTTTCAGTGGCCCTAATCCTCTTCCATAGCTATCTGATGGCAGTAAACTGATCTGTTTGGCTTCTCTAAATAAGATTCTGGTTCTTTAGAAAGAAATTTACGGAAAGTTGTGAAATTTTCAATTGCCAGCCAAGATTTTCATTACTCAATTTAACCTTTAAATATAGATGAAATAACAAAAAAAATATGAACAGGACTAGCATTTAACATTGCAATTAAATTAAACTTTCAAAGTTTATTTAAATATACCTTTAAAGGTGGTATTGCATTATTTATCTGTGGGTATTATGTCACCCAGACTTTGGTCAGACAGATTTTACAGCAACCGAATACAAGATCAGCAGAAAAGAAGACTACAAAAACTTTCCACTGTTAAGCATCACTTTATTGCCTGCTTTTTGTGTCGATTGCCATGGTTGCTAGGCGACAGAAGGTATGCTGAGTGAGGGGCGGTTGAGGGAACAGAAGGCTGTACCTGTTTGCATCTATAGTCAAACTCTTCAGGCCTCCTTATTTTGACTGAACTCAATCACACCCTTTCTTTTCAGTTTTCTAGGAGTTCCATCATTTTTTCCAGGCCTGTTTTATGAGAATTTTTTTTGGTCTGACTTTGTTTTCAAAGAGTTTGTAATTATCATTTTTATCAAATTGGAATTTCTGTAGGTTTTCTTTTCATTAATAGACCAGTACCACCAATTTCCTCCATGTCCATTATATTATATTGTTTTTTTATTCATTACTGTGTTGCGCAAGATATTACTTTATTTAAAAAGCATTTTTTTATGCCCAATCTGACAAACACTGTTATGGTCCATACAGAGGTCATCCTATATTTGGTGTAGTTATGTAAGGTAATGAACATTGTGTGATCTGAAGTGTTGGTGCAATAAACAGCATCATTAATGTATCAAAGAAAGCTCAGTCAAGAATTTGAAGAGGTAAAATTTATTTCTACAAAATCTTGAATAAAACAGAATCCATGAGACGCCGAAACACCCATGAGGGTATATTTCTTCAGTAACATAACTCCAATAAGCTCTTTATCCATTTCTTATTTTAATCTGAACATCTAGTAACTGATTTCAAAAAAGAAAAAAGGGGAAAGAAAAATACAAAAAAAATCATCTTCATCAAACTCTTTACCCTGCATTTACTCTTTTAGACCAGCAGAGGGCAACAGTGCACATTTTATGGCACTATAAAAAATGAGAATCTGCCTCCCTTCAACATCGTTCCAGCAACATTTTGGAATAAAGATGCTTTTAAACTACAAATGTTTTACAGTTATAAGCTACATTTTTTTTTTTTACTTTTTACAATTTCCAAGACCTTCGAGTTGCAGTAAAACATTACTCCATATACACACAGTTAAACCCAAAATATGTAGGTACTGATTATGAGCATCTCTTCTCTAGTATGAGGGAAACATCAATACTGGAGACTTTTAAAAATTAAAGCAAAGATTGAATGAAATGAATAAAATAACCTGAAGGCAACAGCTCACAAGCCAACCTTTCATCTCAATTTATTTGTTTAAACTATTTAGTTTGCTGCGAGTTCATCAAAAATAGCTGATATATAATATCTTTGACTGCTAAATGAAACCAAAGAATGTTATCATCTTGCCTGGAGTTTTCAACAGTAAAATAGGCAGTCAAAAATTAACAGATGCAAATTAATTTTCTGTTGAAAAATCAACAGAAAATGAAAAGAAAAAGCAATTAGAAGTGATGCATGCAAAAAAAAAAAAAAAAGAAGGAAAAATAGCATTCGGACTGATCTGTTGAATAAAAACCACTCAGGGGAATGTTCATCACAATGATAGGAGTGCTTATAGTGTTCATGTTTTTTATTTCTTAACATGAACCAAGTGGCTTTCTAAATATTTCAGAAGTTGGGAGGTTATGTCACAAAAAAACTTTTGAGACTTTGCAAAAAAAAAAAAAAAAAGAAACGTAGATAGATCCAATGTGCCACTCCACTAGGTTATTTTACCCTGGAACCCATGGGTGGGCAATTTTCCAGTTCCTAGGGGGCGGTATCCTGCAACTTTAAGATCCATCCTTTGTCCAACATGCCTGAATCAAACAGCTGAGTTACCTCCATCGTATTCACTCAGCTGACTCAACCAAAGGCACATCTAAAAGTTGCATCATAAAGCTGAAAATTCAGATAGGTTTTCTTTAGGCTCCCAGGAACAGGGTTCCTGATTTGGGGCAGGTGGACACTTCTTCTCAGGTGGATGTTCCATCTTAAAAGAGGGGTTAAAATAAATTCAAAAAATAAAATTTAATGACAAATGAGCCATTATATAGCTATATCTGTAGTTATGCTGCTATAGGCTTAGACTGCTGGAGGACATAGGGACCCCTATTTCATCACATGCTTCATTCTATCTCTATTCTCCCACTCTGCAGAATCTGTTAGTTCAATCTCTAACGTTCTGCTCTCTCTGCTTTTTCTCATAGTAGCTTCATCTGGTCTGTTCCTGTTTGGCTGTGACTCCATCCTGGAGAGAAATATCAGCTGTGCTGCTGCCATCAACACCTTTGTTTCTTCGTTGTTTTTTTCTAACCTTTATTTTACCAGGAAGTCCCTTGGGATGAAATCTTTTTCGAGGGAGTTTATAGATGTTGGAGATCAGTCTGTTTTCCAGTGTAGTCCTGTTTCTCTGACTGTGACTAACTGGATGTGCTCTCTTCATCCTCTGGCATGGGAGCTGGCTCAGAGCTCGTCTGCCTGGCTGTGTGTTTCCTGGACGGGGCCGCCTTTTACAGCTGCCTTTTGTATCTATGCTTCTTTTTCTATGTCTGCTTCTGTCTCCTTGAACCCCAGTGGGCCTCAGCAGATGGCCGCTCACACTGAGCCTGGTTCTGCTGGAGGTTTCATCCTGTTAAAAGGGAGTTTTTCCTCTCCACTGTCGCTACAAGCATGCTTAGTGTGAGGGATTGCTGAAGAGTCAATGAGTCGATGCAATCAACTGGTCTTCCTTAGATAGAAAAATGAATCAAATTGACTGGATGATCTGGTGAACTGTAACGTGCCTTGAGATGACATGTGATGTGAATTGGCGCTATAGAAATAAATAAACTGAATTAAACTAGATTATCGTTACTGTAGGTAACTAAGCTAAACAAATGGAGGTGATTAAAATAAGTTACACAGTGCAAGAAACCCTGTTTAGCTCCTTAAACAAATGAAAAATATATGCAAACTTCAAAGAGAACTCTTTCAAATAAAAATAACGACGTAGATAATAAACACTTCTCTGGTACGTGGTTAGCTTGTGAGTTGTTACAGAAATGTCAAAAACCGATGTGAACCATGATTACAATGAAATCTAAAACCTGTCGGGTCGAAGCAAAACATTATATCTGAGGGCGACAATGGAGGCATCAAACGGAAAAGCAAGGAAATCACTCAGTCAATGGAGGGCGTTGCACATTAAGGCAGCTGAACGTCTCTGCTCCACAGAAATACTCAATCAGTGGGACGTCCCAATCCAATACTGATCACAGCAGAAATCAGTTCACAATAAATGGTTCAGGCCATTTTGTTGCTAGCTACGCTTCTTTGTTTATGTAATATCACATGACCCTGCCTTTTCTAATATTCCACATTATGGAATAACTAAACGTACGTGTGATGTGGTAAATACCTGTATTACACAATATCTGTATATCAGAAATGAAAACGTAGTATTGGGACATCCTTAGTGGTGAGGTTCCTCAAATCAGAAAGTATTAAATGCTACTCATGAGTTTCAGGGATTTGGCAGATTTCTATTTCTGTGCATTTTTTCTTTAAAATCTGAAGGTCCAACGTATTAAAGCTCCTTGATCTCTATGGACACTTGGTCTTAACTCGTTTACTAGGTTACTTTCACTTTCAGAAGACAAAAGACTAAATGTTTTAATGATCCATTGATCTTTTTAGCAGCTTTGTGCGCTTCAAGGAAATCTTGGAGTGTTTCTAAACCATCGTTTAAAATGTGTCAAATCAGGTCATAAACAGGACACTTCATTCTCAACTTCTTTAAACAGGAATCTTCTTCTTGCTCTTTTATCATGCAGTCTGTCCCGATAAACAAAACATTCAAAAATTAAGGAGACGACGTGCCATGGGGTACAAAATGCAAAAAAAACAAAACAAAAGAACAACCAAAATCATTCAATGGAGAGCTAACATAGCTTATATTCAGTCAAAGGCTAAACAAAGGAGATCTGGCAGAGTGATCTGAAAGGCTGCCACTCAGCAGACATAAAACTTCGTCTCTTCCTGCCTTTAAGTGGGGAAAAGCCCTCTGACATGGCCTGGTTCCCCGGTTTGGACCTACAGGGATCAGAGGGTTACTTCTACACTCTGAAGCTTTCTCCTTTGCCGTCGATGTGGCGCAGACGCAGGTAGACGTCGGTGCCGATGCCCTGCATGGACTGAACGGAGAGAGAGCCGCCCAGGTACTCTGCGTAGGCCCTGGATGTGGGCAAACCGAACCCAAACCTGTTGAACACACAGATGCAATCAGACCGAACGGTAAATAATACTACAGGGATGGCCGATTAATCAGCTTGAAACTTTAGTCCAATTTTCTATTTATGGAGATTCGATTTTTTAGAACATTTGTTCCTAGATTAGAATCTCATTAACAAGCTCCCTGTGTAATCCCACTCCCTGCAAACACTTAAGGGCAGATTATAGTTCTGCAACCGCAAACATCAAATGTAGCTTGGGTCTGGTCGCGAACCAGTTTTGCTCGTATGCTTCTGCTCCGTAGGTCTGGAATTTCTAGGGACGCACAGCAGTTTCCCGCCAAAGCGCAAGGAGGAGCCTATTCGAGAAGTAGCGAGAACTTTGGCGGATGGTCACGAGAACTTCTGCAGGGCCGCCGGCAGTGTTTATTAGGGGTGGAATTGTTCACAAAATCCACAGTTCAGTTCACAGTTTCGTGGTCACGGTTTTCGGTTTGGTTCGGTATATGTTGATTGTTACATCGAAATCCCATAAAAATTAATGAAATTCATGAAAAAAAATCCCCAAAAAATGAATGAATTGTAATTATTTTAAATGATCCGCAGAAACCCTGGATCATTTCCGTATGTTTTGCTGCTTTGAATTTAATCATCTGGCGCATGCTCTCTATCATCTCCAAGGAACTCAGAGCGGAGCGACGGGAGCCACAGCGGAGGCTGTAGGCTTTGCTTTGTCCAGGTGGTCTGGAGCGCAGCGGAGCGCTGACGGAGTATGTGGGATTTCGGGGTTAGCCTGACATGTTGGTCGTGTTGCTGTTAGCATAAACAAAATGTGTTGCACAATGCTTGCACACTGTTGCACTTTTATCCACAACTTTCTTTCCGCTGTCATCGTAGGTCACTCTAAATGCAAAGTGGTCCCATACAGCAGACCTATAAAGTGCTGCTGGCGCGTCTCCCAACTCTTTCCCACTCGCCATACCCACACAATTCTCCACAACAACTGATTTTTTTCTGCTACACCCAGCTACGCTGCTTCGCTTCTTCTTCTTCTTGTTTACTACTGGTGGTTGGCTTTGGTCGCAGTACCGCCACCTTCTGCTCTGGAGTGGAAACGCTTCGCCTATGAGAAGAAGGAGCAGCGCATGAACCGAACGAAACACACGCGAACCGAACCGAGACAGTCGAACCGAACGGTTCGGACGGTTTTCAGAAACCGTTCCATCCCTAGTGTTTATCTATGGAAGTAAATCTGTGTCGCTGGGATTTGAATAAAAAATGCAACTGGAATTTAAATGTTGTATGTTTGTACTTACTGTTTCAGTGTTAAAATATATTCAGAACACATTTTTGACCTAAAAAGAAGTTAATTGTCATTATTTCTACACAGTTTAAATTTCATTTATTTTCTCTTCAAGCTAAAAACTCACATTACTATTTCAAAGTGATTACATTTTCAATATTTATTTTTTAGTTTAATTTTTGAATGTTAAAAAAAATCTGCATATAAAAAAATTCAACCTTTCAAAATTCAAACTCAATATTTTCAGCCTCCTGAGATTCAACTGGCTCTATTTCACCGTCTTAAATTCGGCGTCTAAATTCAGTGTAAAAAGGGAAGGGTTACTTCAGGTCACAGACATTAGCAATGGATTGTGGCGTCCAACACCCAGCCAATCCTGTTACGTTTTCTTAGTCACGTGACGTGACGCTTGTGGCGCTCATACGGAAGAAAAACCAGCATCACGGAGCCGGTCATGCACGCTAACGCTAACTCAACGGTGAGTTTATTACTTTCATTTTTCTGTAGTTGAGTTAGCGTTAGCTTGCATGACCGGCTCCGTCATGCTGCTTTTCCTTCCGTATGAGCGCAACAAAAAAAATGCCACAAGCGTCACGTGGCCTTTAGGCTACATTCACACTGCAGGCATTAATGCTCAATTCCAATTTTTTGTGAAATTCATTTTTTTTTTTGCGTTGTTGTTCACATGTCCAAATATATGCGACTTGAATGTGATCTCCTGTGTGAACTGCATTCATAAAACACAAGTGTCCCGCATGCGCAGCAGAGGGCGTAACGATGTCACAGGCCAGCGTGCTCTGTGTTTACGGAAGTAAGCACGGATGTTAGCGCTGGAGCTCATCTAGCGATCTTTCCCGACCTTAAAAACACAATCTTTTCAATATAAATACTGCTCTCCGCATCATAGTCCGCCATGGTTGTTGTTTAACTTGCCGCTTCTGTGTAGCAAGATGCAGAATAGTGACCTTTGTCGGTATTAATGTCGTACAGGTCGGATAAATACGACCTGGCCGTTCAGACACAGGTCGCATTTAAAAAGATCAGATTCGCATCGGATTCAGGACCACATAGCCAAGTGGCCTGGGTCGCTTTGGAACAAATCGGATCTGTGTTGTTCAGACTGCCATGAAAAGATCAGATCCAGGTCGCATGTGAGCAAAAAACAAAACTGTTGCAAAGTTGCTGTGTTTGAACGTAGCCTCTGTGACTAACGTTTTCATCGTTTGTTGTGAAAGCATGTTCTTTTTTCCAAATAAAGGCAAGTTTTTTAAAATAATGCGATACATTTTTGATTTTCTAATTGCAAATTTAAAGGTACAGCGTGTAAAAATTACAGGTATAAGCTGAAATAAATGTTTTATAAAAATAATGTAATGCATAAAAAATATTATCTATAAGTCAGCAATTTATTATCACCAATGAGGAGGGATGGGAATTGAAAACCAGTTCCTGCTCAGAACCGGTTCCGCATGTTCCAATTCCATGGCACCGTTTGGCAGCTCGCTTAACGGTTCTCTTAACGGCATCAGAGCCTAGCGCTGGGAAGCACGAATTGCGTCACGTTTTCTATGTAAGTTACGTCAAGTTACACACACGGCATTCAGTAAGCAAGTACGACGGGACCAGACATAAGTCTAGAAAAGCAAAAAAAAAAAAAAGCAGGTTGTCTGGTATCACTGCAAACATCCCTTATCCTGTTGTCTCATTCTTACCCATGCATGGGGCTGGACTGGTTCCCACTGTTGGTGATGGTGTTGAACAGGTTGCTCATGCGGGGGTCCTGAACGCTCTCCTCTGCAGTGCTGAAGTGGTAGTCCATCACCTTGTCTATTATTTTGTGAGGGATGCCGCCTCCACGATCAGAAATCCTAAATACAGAAAAAAAAATCAATCATTGTCAGAGCTTACTAAAGTGAATACCGTATTTTCACGACTATAAGGCGCACTTAAACGTCTTTTTTTCCCCCTCAAAATGTGCGGTGCGCCCTTTGGTGCGGTGCGCCCTATGGTGCGGTGCGCCCTATGTGTGTTGTAACTGCGACTTTTGAGACCACCTCATTGAGGAGATGATGAAAGAGTGGCTGAATGTAAGGAGACCAGGTGTTTTTTTTTTCCACTCATCACCATCGCTGTTAATATGTAACTCCATGCGTGCCCATCTCACAGCTGATGTGAAAAACATGGGGAAACAAATTAACGCTGTGCTCGCTGTTCAACCGCTCGACATCGGTGTGAACCGGACGCAGCAGGTGCAGCAGAAGCAGCGAGTTTACATGCAAAGTCAATGGTTGACGTGCGTATAGGTGCAGCAAAAGGTCCCGCAGCGCGTTTTGAGCAGCAGGAGCGTTTAAGCATCTGACGCACCGCCAACGCTGCTGCTGCTCGAGATGGAAAAATTTAAGTTTTGCTGCTGGACGCGCCACATCAACCAATCAGAGAAGCTGATCTGGGAGCTGACAGCGAGACAGACACAGCGCTCTGATGACATATGATATTAACGCAAATGAAACGGGCTGGGTGGATGAGGAGATGATGAAAGCGTAGCTGAGGGAGGTGTAGCCTATGTGAGGAGACCAGGTGTTTTTTTCCACGCATCACCATCGCTGTTAATCTGTGACTCCATGCGTGCCCATCTCACAGCTGATGAGAAAAACATGGTGAATCAAATGGATACTGTGCTCGCCGTTATCCCGGGGGTCTGACAAAGGAACTTCAACCGCTCGACATCGGTGTGAAGCGGCTGTTCAAAGTAAGGCTGCGAGCGGCGTGGGAGCGATGGATGACAGACGGAGACCACAGTTTCAGGATAAGTGGAAGGCAGCGCCGGGCAAGTTACGCCACCGTTTGCGGATGGATTGTAGATGCTTGGACTAGTGTCTGCTGGCTCTGTTGTTCAAGCTTTTGCAAAAGCCGGCATTATTTCTGAGGAGCCGCGCTGCACGGAAAGTGACTGACAGCGAAGAAGGGGAAACTGGCATGTCTGATTTAGCGCAGCTGTTTAATTCAGAAACAGAGGATGATGACTATGATGGGTTTGATTAATACTTTGTAATAAATACATGAATAAAGCACAATCATACTCAGTTTTGCTCCCGCTCTATTTTTCTACCTGAAAACTTAATTCAACAGCAGCCTCTGGGCGCGTCTCCTCCTCTTCACCGCGGCGGCTGGCAGGTGTTTTTTCATCTAAATAATCTAAATCTTGCAGCTATATTTGCTGTGATCAGTGGGAATAAAGTAGTTTTAATATGTTTTTAAGTGAGAAAGTCCACCTGAAAACTTAATAATTGCAGTCAGTTCATCCAGATTATCTATTTCTGTCGGAGGCGCTCAGACCCCCACATACCAGCGGTGCACCGACAGGAGAAATCCTTTCATCAGCAGCCTCTAGGCTGGGCAGCCTCCGGGTTCACGCGGTGGCTGGCAGGTGTTTTTCATCTAAATAATTTAAACTGCAGGCACCAGGATACCGGTAATAAAAGCGAACATATTCCGTCGGCAGGTTTCAGGATTTTAAGTTAATTTAGGAGCGATCACAGCGCTCTGTGTCATCTGCGATGTGTCTGTCTCACGGCCAGCTCCCAGGTTTGATTAATACTTTGTAATAAATACATGAATAAAGCACAGTCATACTCAGTTTTGCCCCCGCTGTATTTTTAAATACGCAGTAGAGGTATTTAAAGGTAGTAGAGGACATGTACCTGTATATAAAAAACGCGCCCTATAGTCCGGTGCGCCTTATGTGTGTGTTAAATGCAGAAATGGGACACATAACTGAGAGTGCGCCTTTTAGTACGGTGCGCCTTATGGTCGTGAAAATACGGTACAACCAAAATAAATTTTTTAAATGATTTATTTTCTTTTATGTTGGCCTTGCCATACACTGTGCGATATTTTCAATCGTTGCACGAAGCTACAGCTCAAACTGTACGATGAATTCGCAGGGTTTAAAAGTTCACTTTTAAAGTGATTGTGCGACGATCTGTTGGTTTGCATCCGAAGCAAAAAATAACAGCACCACGTTCAGTCTTTCAGGAACACTCACGGGTGAACTGTGTGTCTGGCTTTAGATGTTAACGGCAAACAAGCTCGCCAAACCGACACACAGACACCCACAATCCTAGCTAGTTGGTGATTGTCCACTTTTGCGTTGTGGCGTGGAATAACCAGGCTTCAAAATTGGGCATAAATCAAAAATATCTGCGTCATATAAGCGCGACAAACTAACTGTGACACACTGCTGCAGGAGGATACACAGCCCTTTATTCAAAGAATGCAGCAGAGAGGCTTGTGGCCACTGGGGGAGCTGTAGAGATCAACAGCTCTGCTAACAGTAAAACTATTAGTCATGGGCTCCACAAATGTGGTCTTTCTGGTAGGCAGAGATTCTATAGGAGTCCCACATGCTATGATGAAATCATGGCAAAGATATGACAGAAGGCGCTCTGCTTAGAAGAACAAACCGTCCCGTTAGGTGAGGATTTATGTCATCAGGGACATTCAAAAGATGGATAGTGCTGAGTATAAGACAAAGTGAGATGCATACCAAACATTTCTAAATTACTTTTTTTTTTTGTATGACATTAGAATCATGAAACACGTTTTGCTGATACCTGAGTGAAGTTGCCCTCCCCCACCTTCTTCAAATCAGACACAATTAGTGTCAAACGTTTGTGCTACGTTTGTGCAGCAAAAATTTTCATTTGTGCCGCTATCGTTTTAAAGATATAAAGAAATATTTCTAAAGGTCAAAAGGTCAACCAGCCCCCCCACCTTCTTCAAATCAGACATAATTAGTGTCAAACGTTTGTGCTGGTTTGTGCCGCTAGCATTTTAAAGATATAAAGAGATGTTTCTAGAGGTCATCAAAGGTCAACGGCACAAACGAACATTTTTGCTGCACAAACGTTTGACACTAATTTTGTCTGATTTGAAGAAGGTGGGGGGGGCCAACTTCACTCAGGTTTTGCAGATTTGTAACTGGAAATCCTAACGAAACCCATTGAGGTAGATTGATATGTGATCAGTGACTCATTCTAAAGCTGTAGGATTTTTTTGCCCTTTTCTGGCTGATTTTCCAATCATGTGAGAATTTTTCAATCTGGACGACCTTAAGCCTGATTTTGTTTAGTATACAGGGAGTAACGACGAGCGATCAGCCTATCACGACCGCCTCCCGATCAGGAATCGTGAGGTCGGGAAAAAATCAAACGTCAGGTGGTCGTGGGCAAATCACTCAGAGGGCAAACCAGGCTTCTTCTTCTTCTCAGATGAATGCACAGAAGCTACAGACCGTACTAGCCAGGTTTGCTCAGCCGTGTTTTTGTCCAAATACGTTGTCGCCTTTTCTTTTTAGGGCTTTCAGCACAAAATTCCCCAAATAGCCAAGGCAGCGCATTTCACTCAAGTGAGCTTCATATTCCTCTTCTGCTCGTTAAGCCTCCGGATAGACGACTCCGATTAGCGTCATCTCACTGCGGAGCTGATTCCGACGTTGTTTTTAGACGTACAGTGTGAGCAGGTAGATCGCATCAGAGCGTCGGGTCGCACAGCGTGAGAACAAACATCATGAGCTGTGAACTTTTGTTGTGAGCTGTAGCTGCGTGCGACGATTGAAAAAAAAAAAATCATCCAGCGTAAGCCCGGCTTAAGATCATTAAAAACTAAGAACTTAATATGAACTTTTTTAAATTTAAAATGACGCTCACCTTATGACAAAGTCAATGTCGTTGTTGGCGATGGTAACAACCACATCAGGCACGTTGTACGGGGTGTCTAGGTGGCTCTCCATGGTGGCCCTAGAAAAGGAGGACGCATAAAAACGTTTACAACATGAAATTACTTTAAAACCATCATATTTTGTCATGTTTACTAAAAGAAGTGGAAACCAGCATAAAATGCAAAGATGTTAAAGAGGACTGCTAGTCCTTTTTTTCTTATTATTCATTATTTTCTCAATACTGTCATTCTTTATTGCGCTCTTCTTTTATTGATATCCCATGTTTCATGCTGATCCGCTTGACACAATGTCTCAAGAATTGTTTGTTGTCCCCTCTGACTTTGCCTCGTGCTTTAATATGCTCTACAGTTTGTTGAGTTTTGTTTTTGCTGTACTTGTTTACTTTTTTTGTCTTTTGTCTTGTCTGTTTAACTATGAAAAAGCATAAATTAAAAAAAAGATACTTATGAACATAGCCCAGTTTAACAAAATACTCAAAGATGTGTCAAAAAACTTAAGATGTGTAATATATGCTCCCAAGGAGTAACATTAAACATTCCCTAATATTACTATGCATGGCTGAGAGATCGGTTCTACGATAGATGGAGCTAATCTTCCCTGCTTTACCTCATTGCATTCTTCAAAAGCTCTGGCAGGATGTAGTCCAGAGGCAGGGGGATGAAGGGGAACCGGGCCGCGACGTGCCCGTTGATCCGGACCCTGGGAGAGTTGCCATACTGGTGTTCACACAAACGCCTGTTGGACACGAGAGAAAACGAACGACACATTGAAGTCCCACCAAACATGTACAGGGTTCCTACAGCATAAGGCAAGTTCAAATCAAGACTTTTTAAAGACATACTATGCGACATTTTTCAGTTAATTAATATGTTCCATAACGTTTTGGATGATTAAATTAGTCATTTCAGGTCAAAGAAAGGTTTTCTCGGCCGCCCTGGTGGTCTGTAGGGGAAATACCGTACCGTACCGTAGCCCTCGGCCCGCACCCACAGGCTCAGAAGTCTCGTGCATCGCGAGAGTCGGTCTTGCTTTACGGCGAGAACTGCTACACGCCCCCAGTGAAAGGCATGCTCGTTGCTAGCGCAGTGGCGATATTTGTGCAGTTATCATGGCGGAACCAGCAAGAAAACAGTGAAAGCCCATGTCGGAGCAGGCAAGAAAGAGGAAAAGGGCTCTCTACCGCAGTAGACATGGTGATCTGTTGCGTTCGTCTGTCTGCTAAGCTCAAAACAACCACGCCTGGCTTGACGGAGAAACCAGGAGAACAGCTGAGCATATTTACGACAGTGCACTTTTACTTTCGCCCTCTGGGGGGAGCCTCGCTGGAAAATCAACACCGGTTGCATAGTATACCTTTAAGACTTTTTAATGCCACTTGAAATAAAAATTTAAGACCAAATTCACAAGAAAAACCAGCTAGCTACAACTTAACCCAAAGGTTTATTTTAACATAAACCACTGCACTAATGTTTTAAATTTTGAAAAGCTTCCCATACAGGAAGAAAGCTAAAAACACACAAATGACAGATATATTTGAACAATTATTTAACTGAATTCACAAACTTTGTTTTAGCAGAGAACAAAACAAATCAGTTTTTTTAATCACTGTCTTTTTATTGAGTAATCCTTTTATACATACAGTTTGTAAATACAAAAAAATATATAATTATCCAACAAGATATAGAAACAAATACAGCAAAAACAATCCCTACAAAAAAAAAAAAAAAATCCCATTCAGCCCACCCAGGTCACTACCAAGAGGTCAGCGCACTCCTGTACTTTCTTATCCCTTACTGAAACAGAACACATTTTATTGAATTTTTTATTTATTTTATTTTTTATAAATAATCCGGAGCATTATTGTGCGTTTTGGAATGAGTCAAGAAAGGCCCCCCATATCTCCTCAAATTTACCAGTTGAATGTTGGATAGAACATTTTATTCTTTCCAGTTTCAGACATGACATGAGGTCACATAACCACTGTTTGTCAGTTGGAGGAGCCGTACCCTTCCACCTGGTTAGAACTGTGCGCCTCGCTAACAGTGAGCAGAATGCCAGCGCCTGCCGCCTAGAGGCCGGTAAAGGTGACCCCTCACCACTAAAACCAAACAGAGCCAGAAGAGGGCCAGGTGTCATCACCATTCCCGCCAACCCGGACATTGTATGAAAAACATCTGTCCAGAAATGACCAAGAGCGGGGCAGGACCAGTACGGACCAGTGTGGCTACAGCAGTTTTGCATTTATCGCAGTAAGGGGTGACTCCTGGATAGATACGCGATATGCTTTGAACTGAATGAGGCAATGGTGCGCACATAGAGATGAGGTATTCACCAGTTTTAGTATAGAGTCCCATGTCTGATCTGCTATGGTCATATTCAAGTCCTCTTCCCATGAGGCTTTAAGTTTAAGTGTGGAGGTCTCTTTCATTGTGAACATTTTGTTATAAAGCCATGAAACCAGCCCTTTAGAAGTTGAGTTCAGTGATAGGATGGTTTCCAACAGTGTATGTTCTGGCAGAGAGATTGAGCCTGAGAAGTGAGACTGAATAAAGTTTCTGGTTTGTAAATATCTAAAGAAATGGGATTTAGGTAAACCACATTTTTTGCTAAGTTCCTCAAAGGATGCCAATTTTTTCCCAATGAAACAGTCCTTAAAGTAAGTAAGTCCCCTCTGCTGCCACTCTAGAAACACCCCATCCTGAACAGATGGTTTAAAAAAATGGTTAAGTGCAAGAAGGAGAAATCATGGAGTTTAAAGTATTTCCTAAACTGGCCCCATATTTTCAGCGAGTGTTTCGCTACTGGGTTTAAAGTAGGGTTAGATGCTGAGAGTGAGAGTGGGGAACACAGCATGGCCGGGATGGACAAATGGTTACAACTGCGTAGCTCCATAGGCACCCAGTCAGGACAGCCCACTCGATTATGATAGAAATACCAAAACACTAGGCATCTAAGATTGGCAGCCCAGTAATAGAACTGAAAATTGGGGAGGGCAAACCCCCCTTGTGGCTTTGGTTTTTGGAGTTGTAATTTATTAAGCCTTGGGCGTTTACCCTGCCAGATGAAAGATGAAAAAGTTGAGTCTAGCTCATTAAAAAAAGTGTTAGGAATAAAAATAGGCAATGCCTGAAAAAGGTATAAAAATTTGGGCAGTATATTCATTTTAATTGAGTTGATACGTCCCACAAGGGACATGGAAAGGGGTGTCCACTTTGTGAGGGATTCCTTCACTTGGTTCAACAGCTTAATCAAATTCTCATTTAACAAATTTTTATGCTTTTTTGTCACTGTGATACCAAGGTATGTAAATTTTTGTCTTTCAATTCTAAATGGCAGGTTAGCAAAGTCTGACATGCTAACTTCATTACCTATTACCTAAATATATTACCATATATTGAGAGCAGAAGGCAATGAAGTTGATGGTTTGGAGATAAAAAGTAGAAGGTCATCTGCATAAAGCGACACTTTGTGTTCCATGTCATTCCTCCAAATGCCGGATATCTGTTTACTGGTTTTAAGTGCAATGGCAAGGGGCTCTATGGCCAGATCGAAAAGCAGGGGACTAAGAGGGCATCCCTGACGGGTGCCTCTTTGTAATTTAAAAGGTTTTGAGATCTGAAGGTTGGTACGAACTGTGGCAGATGGTTGCTGGTATAATAATTTAATCCATGAAATGAAGTTTCCTCCAAAGCCAAATCTGTTAAGGACCGCAAATAGTCAAACTCAACCCGGTCAAAGGCTTTTTCGGCATCCAGAGAGACCACAAACTCAGCCGCATCCGTGGCACTAATATTAAAATATCACTGCTGACTTTTAATGAAGCCTGTTTGGTCTTTTGAAATAATTGAGGGTAAAACCGTTTCAAGTCTACGGGAAAGAATTTTGGCCAGAATTTTCACATCGGTATTTAAGAGAGAGATAAGTCTGTAAGAGGTGCATTCCACTGGATCTTTGCCTTTTTTTTAAATAAGTGTGATACAAGCTTCGTAGAAATATTGAGGAAGGGATCCATGTTTAAAACAGTCACTAAAAGTAGAGCTGAGCTGCACAGAGAGTAAGTCTGAAAATTGTTTGAAAAATTCTGCAGGGAAACCATCCGGTCCTGGGCATTTGCCAGGTTGCATTGAGGCTATTGCTAGGGATACTTCTGCAAGAGAAATAGGTTCATCCAGCTTATTTTTAAATTCTGGTGAGACTACAGGAATGTGAAGCTTAGCTAAAAAATCATCAGTCATGTTAGAATTGGTTTGTAATTGTGAGCTGTAAAGCTCCTCATAAAAGTCCCTGAATGCATCATTAATTTGACAATGGTCTGTGACTACATTACCGTCTTGTTTTCGAATTCTGGAGATAGTTTGCCTTGCCCTAGAACCCTTGAGCATGTTTGCTAACAGTTTATCAGGTTTGTCACCATGCACATAAAATTTAGATTTGTTATGTAAAAGCAGGCGTTCGGCTGAGTGTGCTGTCAATAGGTCAAGCCTTGTTTTAAGTTCAACCCGTCTTTTAAACAGTTCTGGACATTGATTCAAAGCATATTTTATGTCAATCTCTTTGATTTGCTGCGTTAGGTTGTTCTGTTCATAGGTGGCTTGTTTTTTAATTTTTGCTGAATAAGCAATAATCTGGCCTCTGATGTAGGCCTTAAAGGCATCCCATACCACGAGGCTGGAGGTTTCGTGGGAAGAGTTGGTAGCAAAAAAGAAACGTATCTCGCCTTGAATCAACTTTACGAAGTTTTCATCTGAAAGCAGAGTTGAATTAAAACGCCATTGTCCAGTTCTTAGGAGAAGATGGGGAAGGGACAGGGACATAGTGAGTGGGGCGTGGTCTGAAATAATTATACTTTGGTAGTCGCAGGAACGTATCTGCTGTAGCCATTTTGCATCCATAATAAAGTAGTCAATTCTTGAATATGTTTTGTGCACATGTGAAAAGTATGAGTAGTCCCTCTTATTGGGATTTAGAGTTCGCCACACATCACACAGCCCATACTCAGATAGAAAGGATTGTATAACTGATGCAGACTTGCTTATGACATTGCTTTTAAGGGATGAGCGATCCAAAGCTGGGTCCAGCCAACAATTGAAATCACCCCCGAGGACCAGTGAGTATTTATTGAGGTCTGGTAATGAAGAGAATAGTTGCTTAAAAAAGTTCTCATCATCGATGTTGGGAGCATAAACATTGACCAAAGCAACCAGAGTGTCGTGCAGCTTCCCACTCACCATTATAAATCGGCCGTGTTTATCAGCCACCACATTATCGGCCTCAAACGGAGTATTCTGGCTGATAAGTATGGAAACCCCTCGTGACTTAACCTGAAAATGGGAATTAAAACATTGTCCCCTCCAGCATGTCAGAAGACGACCTCCGTCCGAGCTCCTGATGTGAGTTTCTTGAAGAAATGCTACATCTATATTAAATCATTTAATATGAGAGAAAACCTTCCTTCTCTTCACTGGTTGGTTTAAACCTTTAACATTCCAACTTAGAAAATTTAAATACCGACTCATGGTCTCAAAGTTTAGGTGCTATTTTAATTTGATAGGTATAATAACAGTATGGCAGGCAGAGATTGAGCACTATGCGAAACCCCCGGCTGTGACCTTAGCCTCCCCCCTAAGCCCCCCCTCCAAACATAAACAGCTGCCAAACAAAAAAAAAACAAACAACAACATGGCAGCAAGCTCTTCAAAATTAACATTCTCAAAAATCGAATCTTCCAGTAATCAACAAACTCAGATTAGCAGAAAAAAGAAAAAACAGCTGTCAATAACAAACCAACCACTGCTCCTAGTGGGCATGAAATAGATAACCCCCCCCACCCCAACGTAAATATTTATCTTGTACTTTACTGGCCACCAAGCACACCAAGGGAAAATAGTAATGTGGCAAAAATATAATAAAAAAAATTAAGCTACCACAACAGATAAAAGGAGGCTCCCGATACTATTGGGACAGAACAAACCGGTGTTATTAGAGCTGCTCCTTCATTCATAAAGTCCAATACCAACAAAAAGGATGGCCAGAATAGGTCAATTTGTAAAAAAAAAAAATAACATGTTAACAGGCTGTATTTAGAGTACCTACTGCGCCCTGAAGAAAACCAGCCCGCCTGTTTTTATGTAGTAAACTCTCAGTACAGCGTTGCTCCTTTATTGGTCTTCTGGTGGTTTCGGGAGCCTCTTGATGAACTGCTGCGCCTCCTCCACCGAGCCCAGAAACTTTTTGGCACCGCTGGATTGCGTAATACGAAGTCGGGCCGGGAAGAGAAGAGCCGGCTTCAACCCCCGCCTGTAGAGTTCCGCCATTGCGTCGTTATATTCCGCGTGTCGGGCCAGGACGTCTGGGCTGTAGTCTTCCACAATACGAACAGATGCACCTTTGTAGTCGAGCGTTCCTCTCCTCCTGGCTTCCCGGATAATGAGGTCCTTGGTCTGGTATTGGTGCAGGCGAAGGATAACCGGCCGAGGTGGACGTCCCGCGGGTCGCTTAGCTGCCAGGGAACGGTGCGCCCTATCGAGCTCCGGTGGGGTCGGGAGCGCCTCTTTCCCGAGCAGTTCGCAGAGAAGGTTGGAAAAGAAATGAGTAGGGCGCCCACTTTCAGTGTCTTCAGGGAGACCGAGGATGCGGATGCTCCGTCGTCTACTGCGGCTCTCCAGGTCAGTGACTTTGTCTTTTAACTTGGCGTTGTCTTCACGGAGAGCAGCACACGAGTCTTCGAGGTTAGCCACTCGCTGGCTCAGATCCTCTGTAGCGAGTTCTAAGGAGGAGATTCGCTCTGCTTGTTCCTCCAGGGTCTGCCGCATCTGGTCTAGCTTGGAGCTAAGCATGTTGGCAGAAGATTTGAACTCGGATTTCAGATCCTCCCTATGCTGCTGAAGCAGTGTGGTGATAGCCTCCAGCGTTAAGTTAGCATCCTCTTTCCTCCTTCCTTTCGCGCTTTTGCTGGCCATTACTAGTGAATAATTAAACAAAAGCACAGTTCAAGATGTTTTGGTATCGCTGGGTGACGCAAAATTAACTTTCCGTGGGGTGAATTTAGTTAAAAGGTTGAATTGTTCTGGAGCAGTTCGTTGCTACGTCTACCATGTCCGCATGGCAAACCGGAAGTCCCCAAATCAGTTTTAAAGCCACAACAAAACCAGTGCTAAGTCTTTTTTGCAGCTATTTTTCCTTTGTGTGGTTTTCTTAGTATGTTTGATTTGGTGATAAGTGGAGGCGATTTTCGTGTTTCGTGCTTTGCATGTGCGACTCCACTGCCTTAATTCCCATCGTTTTTGAATGACTTCTTGCACAAAATCCACCGAGCCTCATGTATGTTCCCTGGTTTTAGCCATGGAGAATGAGAGATATGCGGAGCAAATCCATCTGGTGGAGTCAGGTTTGTAATTTTGATGTAGTTACCAAAACGACAAACAAGCTAGAAAGCGCTATCATATGGCAGTCTTCTGTACAGTGATGTAGGTCATACATTAAAAAATGTTCATTCAATTTTTTTTCTCTTAGACATTGGAGAGGTGCAGTTTAATGTTATAGAGCTAAACATGTTAGCTTGGTGACCTGTTATGACATTATTATTGTCTTGTTGCTGCATTTATTTTGTCAGGGAAAACTAATCCATAGTCAGTTAAAAGTCAGGGAATTCTGAAATGATGTCAGACGGTGGAAACCCTGTATAAAATAACTATGTATAATGATTCTCTAGAAGAGTCACATTATATTAATAGTATTATCTTGTATAAACATACCGTGACTCTAAAATAAAAGTTATTCATTTGTGACATTGACTTGTCTTGCGATTTATCTTAAGTTTTTAACCTGTCAAGTTTTTTGTTTTAGATTTTTAACATTACAGTTTATATTTTTCCAAGCACACAACAGTTTAAAGCAAAGTTTAGTTTGAAAAGAATGTGCAGGAAGGATTGAAAAGCATGTTAACACGGTAATGTAGGCTTGAGTTCATTATCTGATGCATGCAGAGACACACCAGGAACCTGGAAACTTACTGAATTACAAAAAACATTTAAAAAACAATTATATAGATACAAAAATTAATATTTGGAACTATATTTATCAAACATTATACTGGGCAAGTAAAAATTGTTTCTGGGCAAATGAAATGTGAAAGTTACTTGCCCAAAGGGCAAGTGGTAAAAATCCTTAAGGTCAACTTCTGCCAATAGATGAGAGGTCTAAACACAGCAGGAGGCTTCTCAGCAAACTTGCCTTTGACAAACCTAATTGATGGCAGACGGAACTGATAGGTTTACCTCGGGTAAACAGAGTGATGACTCCTATCTGTTTCTAATGTGTTTACCAGCTGACCTCTGACTGCCCTCAGTCAATAAGCGCTGAAACAGAATGTCATCTGATGAGCAAACAAAGCTCACCTGGAAAAGTCCACCCACTTCTCTATGATCTTTTTAGGGGACAGGCGTCTGCAGATGATCCCGACGAAATCCGGCTGAAAACACACAGAAGTGGGAGAATTTCATTTATGTTCAGGAAAATGATTATCTATTATTTGAAGACTTGAACAAAGTCGTTATGGCAGAATCAACTATAAGATCCCAGCAATCCAGGTCATGGCAACTACAAACAGGCTTATATTGCTCAGTTTTTTAAGACGTTTAAACACAGATCAAAGAGCATTTGTCAATTCTGTTTGCTCGCACTACAGCAAACTTTAGTGGGAGCACTGATGTATTTAAGCAGCAGTAAGGTCCATCCTCCTGCACACATTCCAAGTCAGATGCTAATCAAATAGCCACCTTTTGTTAGGCCATGCACAACAAAACGCTCTAAGTGATTGGTCTTTTGAATCAGATCGATCAGTTTTTCAGTGTAGTCCTGTTTCTCTGATTGTGATTGACTGGATGTGCTCTCTTCATCCTCTGACATGGGAGCTGGCTCAGGGAATGAACCATTATATAGCTATCTCTCTAGTTATGCTGCTATAGGCTTAGACTGCTGAAGGACATAGGGACCCCTATTTCATCATTCTATCTCTATTCTCCCACTCTGCAGAATCTGTTAGTTCAATCTCTAACCTTCTGCTCTCTCTGCTTTTTCTCACAGTAGCTTCATCTGGTCTGTTCCTGTTTGGCTGCAACTCCATCCTGGAGAGAAATATCAGCTGTTCTGCTGCCATCAACACCTTTGTTTCTAGATGTTGGAGCTTGGCCTGTTTTTCCAGTGTAGTCCGTTGTCTCTGGCTGTGACTAACTGGATGTGCTCTGTTCATCCTCTGACATGGGAGCTGGCTCGGAGCTCGTCTGCCTGGCTGTGTGTTTCCTGGATGGGGGCGCCTTTTGCAGTTGCCTTTTTAATCTATGCTTCTGTCTCCTTGAGCCCCAGTCGGCCTTAGCAGATGGCCGCTCACACTGAGCCTGGTTCTGCTGGAGGTTTCTTCAAGTTAAAAGGGAGTTTTTCCTCTCCACCGTCGCTACAAGCATGCAAAAACTTTGAATCAATCTGACTGTATGATCTGGTGAACCGTAAAGTGCCTTGTTGTGAATCGGTGCTATATATAGACAAACTGAATTTAAATAAATCATAATGGGTAGGGATGGGAATCGAAATCCGGTTCCTGTTCAGAACCGGTTCCGTATTTTCCGATTCCATGGCATCGTTTGGCAGCTCGCTGAACGATTCTTTTTTCGATTCCCGCAGCACCAGAGCCTAGAGCGCCGGCTCTGGGGAGCACGACTTACGTCACGTTTTTTACGTAAGTTACGTAAGTTACGCAAGTTACGCAAGTTGGAAGAACTATTCGAGGAGGAAGACAACGAGCTGCGGTCACTTTGTGAATCAAAGCCCCGTCTTTCCTTAGCCCAGAGGGTAGATCAGGAAATCCAGCTCTATAAAAGCTTGCCCTCCATCCCCTGCAGGGATAGCGCCACACTGTGGTGGTGGAACAAGCAAGATACGCTGCCCTTGCTATCTGGACTGGCTGAAAACTACCTCTGTGTGCAGGCTTCCTCCACCCCATCTGAGAGAGTGTTCTCCACGGCTGGAGACACCATAAGCCCTGAAAGATCCTGTATCCTTCCAGAAAAAGCAGATATGCTCATCTTTCTGCAAAAGAACTGTTAATTTTCCCTACTACTGTTTTATAATTAGTATTTTTTGTTATTTAAAATAGGTTATTATCCCATCATTTGTTATTAGACATTGTTGGTTATTAAGTTTGTTCTTGTATTCATTTTTCATTTAAACACGGATGTTACTCCAGTTTCACATTTCCTGTGGACATCTTGATCTTGTTGAGTTTGTAAGATTGTGCAATAGTTAAGTAAACAAAGTTGATGCTGATAATCAAACTGTTTGTTCTCCTTTTTTCCCCAAATTGGAATCGAAAAAAGAATCGATAAAGAATCGAATCGTTTCATAGAATCGAAAAGGGAATCGGAATCGTGAAAATCTTTTCAATTCCCAACCCTAATAATGGGAGTGCTTGGGAAGGAGTTCAATGACTGAATATTAAATGCTTAGAAGCTTCCTTGACACCTCTTCCAAACTATCTGTCCTCCCTGTCCTTTGCTTTTGAGGTGCAAGTGTACAACTGAATCTTGCCCAGAAATGCTGGCACTAGGTCTCATACACAGCACCGCTTAGCTTCAGTTTGGGTGTTCTGCCTTTAGGATGGACCCGATTTTGCGTCTTTTTCCTCCTCTGTGTTGCATGCAGTGTTCTTCCTGCTAGCTGTACTGCCCAGTTTGAAAAACCACATCCTTCAAGTGATTCCCTAACATGTTTTTGTTCCTTTTGTTTCTCCTCTGTAATTGAGGGAATATTGTCAGGCAGTTTATGTTTATGTTCCAGCAGGTGATGTGAGTCAAAATGAAGATCAGAAATAAGATAATCATAATTTAAAATGCTTAGGAAAACATTAAAGGAAATTAAAGAGATTAAAGACCAAAACCTCTGCATGTTTACGTCGTACTTTACAGGAACCAGGTAGGTTTTACTAATCTCAGGTTTTGCTCCAAAGCTGAGGAGCAGCTTGTTTAGTTCAGGTCTCAGAACTAAGACCTGAGATCTGAAGACTTCTCATGTATTCAGGACAATTTAAAGTGTTTATAGATCAACAGCATAATTTTAAAACCAATGTAATACAAACCAAGTGTTTTCAAACTGTCAATTCCAAATCTACACCAAAGTTCCCTTCAGGCTTCATGCTTTTTGGTCTTTATTCCTATTTGGAGACCAAAAACTGGTTTCTATCTCATCTCTACTGCGCTGGAAGACGTCCTTACCCGTCCTTAGACTTAGACTTCCATAATTGTCATTGCACAAAAAAACACAAGGTGAATAAGCTAAGACCTTATTCCTGCACAATAAATACACTATATTGCCAAAAGTATTTGCTCACCCATCCAAATTATTGGAATCAGGTGTTCCAATCACTTCCATGGCCACAGGTGTATAAATTCAAGCACCTAGGCATGCAGACTGTTTTTACAAACATTTGTGAAAGAATGGGTCGCTCTCAGGAGCTCAGTGAATTCCAGCGTGGAACTGTGATAGGATGCCACCTGTGCAACAAATCCAGTCGTGAAATTTCCTCGCTCCTAAATATTCCACAGTCAACTGTCAGCTGTATTATAAGAAAATGGAAGTGTTTGGGAACGACAGCAACTCAGCCACGAAGTGGTAGGCCACGTAAACTGACGGAGCGGGGTCAGCGGATGCTGACGCGCATAGTGCGAAGAGGTCGCCAACTTTCTGCAGAGTCAATCACTACAGACCTCCAAACTTCATGTGGCCTTCAGATTAGCTCAAGAACAGTGCGCAGAGAGCTTCATGGAATGGGTTTCCATGGTCGAGCAGCTGCATCCAAGCCATACATCACCAAGTGCAATGCAAAGCGTCGGATGCGGTGGTGTAAAGCACGCCGCCACTGGACTCTAGAGCAGTGGAGACGCGTTCTCTGGAGTGACGAATCGCGCTTCTCCATCTGGCAATCTGATGGACGGGTCTGGGTTTGGCGGTTGCCAGGAGAACGGTACTTGTCTGACTGCATTGTGCCAAGTGTAAAGTTTGTTGGAGGGGGGATTATGGTGTGGGGTTGTTTTTCAGGAGCTGGGCTTGGCCCCTTAGTTCCAGTGAAAGGAACTCTGAATGCTTCAGCATCCCAAGACATTTTGGACAATTCCATGCTCCCAACTTTGTGGGAACAGTTTGGAGCTGGCCCCTTCCTCTTCCAACATGACTGTGCACCAGTGCACAAAGCAAGGTCCATAAAGACATGGATGACAGAGTCTGGTGTGGATGAACTTGACTGGCCTGCACAGAGTCCTGACCTCAACCCGATAGAACACCTTTGGGATGAATTAGAGCGGAGACTGAGAGCCAGGCCTTCTCGTCCAACATCAGTGTGCAACCTCACAAATGCGCTTCTGGAAGAATGGTCAAAAATTCCCATAAACACACTCCTAAACCTTGTGGACAGCCTTCCCAGAAGAGTTGAAGCTGTTCTAGCTGCAAAGGGTGGACCGACGTCATATTGAACCCTATGGATTAGGAACGGGATGTCACTTAAGCTCATATGTGAGTCAAGGCAGGTGAGCAAATACTTTTGGCAATATAGTGTATGTTTTCTATGAGTAAGAGCTAGCTATATACAGGGTAAGAGTATATAAATATATATATATATACATATATATTGCACTGAGTTTTTGAAGAAGTATGATCAATAAATAAATATTGCACTGAAGAGTTATTGAAAACAAAACATTAAATTGAAGACAAAACTAAACTAAGGTGCGTGAGTCACTTACTGACTCAGTGAGTGTGATGGGGGAAAACAAAGACAGATTTTATGTAACAAACGGATGTACATTATCTTCATGAAGAGCAAGATGGTGTGTGGCCAACATTCGGATTCCTAAACGAGAGCACAGTGTTGTATCCAAGAAGTTCCTGATGATGGTCTCATCCTGGAAGATGGAAACATAAATAATAAAAAAAAAACAATCAGTCTGTTAAATAAAGTAATAACTCAAGGAGACAGAAAGCTTGGTAGATCTGAGGAGTCTGGCTCTTGCCTGGATGTGCCTGCGACACTCCTTGAAGCCCTGGGCCAGCATGGTGACCACGTCTTTGTGGTCGTCCAGCAGCTGCTGCACCAGTTTACAGAAACGAGCCTCGACTTCCTGATCCTTGATCTGCCAAGAGAAACAAACCTCACATAAAATCTGAACATTATATCCTTAATCCTAGTCTAGATTTTAACTTTATGCTATACAATCTGCAGTTCTTAATTTAATCTAAATATTAAAAGAGCCATCTACAGTATGACATATATTCTCCTTTGTTGTCATAATTTAAAAAAAAAGCTCTTTACATGTAGCGGGACTTTATAATAACTTTTTTTTTTATTAAAATAAACTGTAGAAAAAAATAAAAAGTAAAAAAAAATACAATTAGACAAAGAATTAAAGCACCTTTCATAAAAAGAAAAAAAAGATGTAAGGGCTAAAGCTTGAAGAGGGTTTTATCAAATGTAATTAAATGTAATCAACAATATTTTTCAGTCAGTTTAGAGAAATTGTTACAATTTAAAAAGGTGCCTGTTGAGATAATTTAGGAAGTTTCTAACGATAAAGTTAGAAATAGTCTGAGAAATGTATGATTAGGACATTAAGGGCACTTAGCCGGTTTCCCTTTATCTGTTATTTAATGACGACAAAGTGTCTGAATACATTCGAGATAAAAATGTCAAAAATGAATAAATATTTGATGACTTGGTTATAACAAGAAAAAACAACTGGAGATGATATATATATGCCACTGAGCCTGGTTAAAGCAGAGTTTTTCCTGTCCACTGTCGCTACAAGTATACTTAAGAGTCAATGCGTCGATGCAATCAACTGGTTTTCCTTAGATAGAAAACTTTGAATAGATTTGACTGTATGATCTGGTGAACTGTAAAGTGCCTTAAGATGACATGTGTTGTGAATTAGCACTATAGAAATAAACTGAGTTGAAATCTGAATATATGAAATGGAAAGAATAACAGCCCGTCTCAATCACAGGACTGAACAATTCTGTCAGTTGTGGCAGATCAGGGTAGACGATGTTAACCTTAAAAAATCTGATCTCATTTTTAGAGACCAGACTTGATTAAATTTCCTTGACAATCCAACAAATATGTTTTATCTACACAACCTGACTCAGCTGAATTCAGAAACGACATGAAGATTAGAAGCAGAGAAGGTCAACACAGTATTTCACTAATTATTTCCAAAAAAAAAGTCCAAGATGTGTAGAGGATATTGTTTAACATATCAACCCTGTAGAAGATTTAACTCATCAGTAAACATAAATAAATAAATCATATTAATACATTTTTAAAAAGAATGACCTAATTCAAGAATTCCAAATGTTTTCTGTATGTATTCTGTATTTAAACCTATAACCTTTTATTATTAAAAGAAAAAGTCCGGTCATGTTCAGAATACAAACTTCTGAAAGTATTTTAAGTAATAAATTATTCCATCCTGTTCAATAAATAATAAGTGTTTTTAATTCAGAGTAATTTTCATGTGAATGTGCTTTACTGGAGGCAGCCCTGTTTGTCAGAGAACACTACTGCCACCTACTGGTTTGTGACGTCACGGTGCGGTATCGGCTGTTGATCAAGTCCCAGTGCTGTATCTGGTGTTTGTCACAACGCGCTATTATCCAAGTCATCTTGAAAACATTCTTCTTCCAAATGTTGGCTACATATTACGTGTTTTTTCTCTGGCCAGAAGTTCGATGGCAAATCCTCCCTCTTCAAGTTGGCGATCCAACGACCAACCCGTCCGTGGAGGATCAGGAATCAGAAAGGTGGAATAACTCTTTTTTTCACTTTTACCCGATGTATTCCAGCATCCAGCTGCCATGCACGTGGGCATTGTCAGTTTCACTATAGCTCTGGTGAATTTCAATGGTGAAGTCCTCTGGAAATCTTCAATAATTGTTGTTGATTGCAGATGTGTCTAGTAGTTCCCATTGATTTAGCTTGTAAAGCGGGGAGAATGGCGCTAGGCTTACCGCACCGTGACGTCACTGCTGGAAGATGGCAGGAGGGAGGGGTTACTTTATTTGGGCAAAAATGGCCGCTCCCAGTGTTCTGTCAGACCAGCATACCCATAGTCAATATTCATGCGCAAGACGTCAGATTTGCATACGCATATGCTAGTTCCGTTTCTACCTTTAATTTTGTACGAAAAATACACCAAACTTCCTCAACGGGCGTGTATCCCCTACAAAAAAATATTTAATTACTTACTTATTGTTTTATGAAGTGTATGGAGATCTTACCGTAAATTGTTTTTTTGCACATGACTAAATGGATACACGCCCGTTGAGGTAGTTTAAAGTGTATTTTCCATACAAAATTAAAGGGATAAACGGAGATAAACTAAAGGGATAAACAGGTATTGACTATGGGTATGCTGGTCAGATGGGGTATGCTGGTCTGACAGAACACCACCACCATATTTGGGGCAAAATGGCCGCTCCCAGACTCAATGATCGCAATACAAACTATTGTTTTCATTGGTTTACTGATTAACGCTTAATTTATTTAATCACTGGAATGTATTAGTTTTTGGTATAAATAATGATCCATTGATTATTCCTTGCTGACCTGACTTTCCCTTTAAATTGGTCTTAATTAAATTGGCTGCTTTGGAGATGAGCAGATGAACAGCCCTCAGGGTTAGCAGTAAATCACAACCTGCCTGTTCAACTTAGCAATTAACCGCCTTCCCTCCCTCCCTCCCCCCAAGAAATGCTGAACTTGAACTCCTGAACTTAAACCGTCTGCATGTGCAGCATTTCCTGGTTATGTTTGTGTGCGATTCTTACCTGTGGAAAGTCACTGAGCATGTGGTAGGCTCTGATATACAGTTCATGCTGTAAGAGAGAGGAGAGAGGGATCTCTGTAACCATCCATTCAAGCAGACGGCATCACATAACCCACAGCGACCCCCTGACTGGGCCCCACAGAAACACTAATAAGCTCTCACATGGGTTACATTACAGAACTTCTCAGGATGCTCCTGCTGCTGTGGATCGGACAAATATAAAAATGTGCAAAAATGTTCAAGTTGATATTTGAGCTAACCTACATTTCGAAGGGTCGCACAGAGAAAGGGGCCCAGGTTTATGCAACCAGTGGAGAAAGCCTAGAGATACCAGAGAAGAAGGAATCTAGGGGAAAGTTCATCAACTTGAAAACAAAAGTTGGGAAGAGTTTAGAGAGAAAAACAGGCTGAAAGAGACGCTGACTCTGCTACAATGTGACAAAAACACCCTTTTGTTCCAGAGGAACAGTTATCGCAACAGTTTAGGCTGGGTTTCTGTAACGACAGCTTGTTTGAACGTCACCCATGTACAAAGTAGCGTACAGGAATGCTGCCTGTTTAATCTCAACCTCGAGGAACAATGTGTTCCCGCAAGCTGATCCTTCACCTAATGTTAAAGCAACGATCCTAAATGAGGAGCTGGTAGGAAGCCAAGATGAGACAAAAACAGATTCAATACAATATAAAAGCTCTTAAATACAACAAAAAAAACCCAACATTTATTTATATCCCTTCAACTTTCCAGCATTATGATTCATTTTAATACTTTAAATGTATTTTACTGTTGTTGTTTTTGTTTTACATAACAGATCAACAGAGAACAAGGAAAAAAGATTTCGTTTTTAAAAATCTCTTTAGAAAAATCTGATTAGTGTGGCAGGCAACTGGATTCTTTGCTTACCTTAACCATAAACCTTTTACATCTTTTTCATCATTCTATCTCTATTCTCCCACTCTGCAGAATCTGTTAGTTCAATCTCTAACGTTCTGCTCTCTCTGCTTTTTCTCATAGTAGCTTCATCTGGTCTGTTCCCGTTTGGCTGTGACTCCATCCTGGAGAGAAATATCAGCTGTGCTGCTGCCATCAACACCTTTGTTTCTAGATGTTGGAGCTTGGCCTGTTTTCCAGTGTAGTCCTGTTTCTCTGACTGTGACTAACTGGATGTGCTCTCTTCATCCTCTGACATGGGAGCTGGCTCGGAGCTCGTCTGCCTGGCTGTGTGTTTGCTGGATGGGGCCGCCTTTTACAGTTGCCTTTTGTATCTATGCTTCATTTTCTATGTCTGCTTCTGTCTCCTTGAACCCCAGTCGGCCTCAGCAGATGGCCGCTCACACTGAGCCTGGTTCTGCTGGAGGTTTCTTCCTGTTAAAAGGGAGTTTTTCCTCTCCACTGTCGCTACAAGCATGGTTAGTGTGAGGGATTGCCTTTGAGTCAATGAGTCGATGCAATCAACTGGTTTTCCTTAGAAAACTTTGAAACACTTTGACTGCATGATCTGGTTGAACTGTAAAGTGATGTAATTGTGTTGTGAATATAAATAGCCTGAAGTGAATTGAAGCAGATCAAGCTCAGTCAAACTGGACCATCTGTGAACATCAATCTTCAAGTGTTGCCACTGGATCTATTTCTGGATTTTGATTGGGCCATTCTGACTGCTTTGACAAAGGATGTTATTGCTGTCCTGGTGAAACGGCTTAAAAAAATAATCTCAGATGTTTTCCTACCAAATGAGATGAATTTAATTTTTTTTTCCTTTCACTACATAGACTTTCATAATAAATATAAAAAATTAAATTACCGTAATTTTCAGACTATAAGCTGCATCTGAATATAAGCCGCAGAAGCTAAATTGCATGATTTGTACACATACAAGCCGCACCGGACTATAAGCCGCAGGTTTTTTATGTTTACACACAAACTGTCTTGCGCTCGCAATGTCCGTCTTACTCGCTGTCGTTCTGTCTCATACCACTCTGCTTCCGGAGGACCTCCGCATTCCCGTGCGCGCATGGTGGATTTAGGTACTACCCTAGTGGCCGTTAGCTGTAAAAGTCCATAGATAAGCCGTATTGTTAAATAAGTCCAAGGTCGAAAAATGGGGAAAAAGTCGCGGCTTATAGTCCGAAAATTACAGTAAGCCTTTCAAAAACTAGTTTTGATTACAACCAGCCCATTAATTTGAAGGGAAATGAATGATCATATGACACAACAATGAAAATGTAGCACGCTAAATGTTTGCAGCTAGTGGTGTCAAACAGTGAGCTAGTTTATTAGTTTAAGAACACATCTAAGAAATAACTCTGGGCTATAAAAGCTTAAGAGATTGCTGAAAAAAATCTTGATTTTCCAAAAAATAAAATCCTCATTAATAAAATGGATCAACTAATGGATTAGTTCAATCTCCAGTCTAGTCTGAAATGTTTTGCAAACTTTTCTTCAAGCGTCCGCATTTCTTCACTCTCCTACCAACTCTTCCATGTCTGTGCTAAAGTAAAGCCTCCCCACATCATGATGCTTCCACCGCTGTGTTTCACTCAGGTTAGTGTGCAGAGCATCTTCTCCCACATATTCAATGTGTCCTCTACATCAGTAGGAGGTCCTCCAGGCTTATTGCCCTTCATAATCTAGATTCTTCTCTGCCAAGGAAGCCCGATGTAAGATATAGCGTTACCTTCTGAGTTTGCTTTAGGGGCTGCTGAAGCCCATTAATCACCTCATCTGCTTGTCTGATCTTCTTGCCCAACCAGTCTGTTCCCTGCTCTTCATGAAGGTGCTGTCAATCTAAATAAACCTATAAATTCTTTACAGTACAGCTGGATTTATACAGAGATTACATTTCATAGTTTTTTCTATTTATTTTGAAGAAACAAAGTAATGAAACCTGTTTTACATTCTAATTTTGAAAATAAATATCAGTTAAAGAGATGGAAATGTACTGGGTAAGGACTGTCTGCACATATAGGTGGTTTGACTCTTCAAAAACACCACTAACTAATAACTTCCATGGTAAACATCATTCAGGTAGTTATGGGTCCAGTATTTGATTAATGGCTCATTGTCACCGTTCACATTGTTTACTTAAGCTGAGCCCAATACAGAATGTTATGTCTGCATCCTGCCTGCAGTGACCTTCATGCTGCACATTTTAAAGGAGCACAAAGCAAAGGACCTGAATGATGTCCTGAAAAACAAACATTGATCTCCCTTCCCGTTTTCAATTCACAAAAGATTTATGTTAAAATTTACCAAAAACTGTAAATAAAAGACAATTAACTGACTCTAATTAAACATCATCCACAGGAACTTCCCAAATAAAACCATCTACAAACTAAAGCTTTATGATTGACCATTCTCTGAAAGTTAATCCAATTTAGGACAAAATATACAAAAAACACCGCCTAACATCTAGATTTTAGATTCGTTTGGAAAGACATTCATTCCCAGGTGGGAACCTCTGAAGCTGCTGTAAATGTTTATTGGTCTTAAGCTTTAATCACCAGGTGCTGAAATATTAGACCCTGGGGCAGGGTTGTTTGTTATTGGGTTTGATTTACGATTCACTGCAGACTCGTTAATGTTGGGTTTACATTCATGAACATTTATGATGACTGATAGAATTTATTTAAAGCTCCTGTGTCCAAGAAATGAGACCCAGCTCCTAAAGAGACAGCAGGATGTCTTTGGAAGAAAATCCATTAAGGATGCACCGAAAATTTTTGTACCAAAATGACGGAAAAGTGCGTTTTCCGTTTTAGAGCAATTGACATTTAACACTGAAACAACATAGATGAAATTTGTGATCATGTGAAAGAGGGCAAATCCAACACGGGTTGAAAAAGCGAGGGTTAGCAAACAGTCAGAATGCAGAAACGTTCACTGAGTGAAGAAAAGGACTAGTGAAAGTGACGATGTGCGAGTTTAAGCCCAGCTCTTCTGTGTCACTTTGAGGTCAGGTCTGGGGCAAAGAAATACTGCCACAGAAACCCAAACGTCCCCATCACCATTCTGAATATGAGAATAACATTGGACGCAGAACTGACATTGGACATTCCCACATCGTCTCACACACACATGCCCCATTTACACTACCCTTGAAAAACCGTGCCGAGACCGGTCCGAGCTCAGTAACTGAGATAACTTATCGTGTGTAAATGGAAGGCAAACTTAACCGAACCGAGCTAGACACAACCAGACCGAGCTAACTGCAGACCAGTTCCAGAGGTGGGCTCGGCTCGGTTTTTCCCTGGCTCAGTTCTCTGATAACATAACGCGATTCACACTCCATTCCAGTAGTTGGCGGTAATGCCCCTCCGGAAACAGGAGAAGAACAACTTTTCTTCAACTATAAACAACAATCGAAATCTTCTCCAAGCAACATTTTAAATAATAACACTGAAGTACAGCAATAATAATCAAGCAAAACATTTTGATTTGCTTGATTCCCTCCTTCTTCGTCTTCTTCTTCTTGTGTTTTATGGCGGTTGGCAAACAACTTTTGGTGCACTACCGCCACCAACTGCTTGATTTCCTCCTTCAATACTGGCAGTAATACCGCAGATCGTCACTAGGAGGCGAGGAGTCGAGGAACCGAGATAGCGTAATGTGTAAACGGTCGTCAGAACCGAGCTCGGACCGGTCTCGGCATGGATCGGTTTTTCAGGGGTAGTGTAAATGGGGCTTTAGATGCATTTCCGTTCTTTTTATTTCTGTGTAATAACACACAACATGTCAGTCGCTTGCAGTGCTACAACAGGTCATCTGGCCAATGAGATTACAGCAGAGAATCCCACTGGACTTCCAGCTTGTGACTTGAACGCTGAATAGAAACTTCAATCTGAGACCTTATTTCCTGCCCAAGTAAGCATTTAGAGAATAACTGCTCCTGGTTCCCCTTAGTTTGCTTTTGACCCCTAAAAGATGCCATTATAGTTTAGCCTATATGTATCCAGCTGAGCAAAGAAATTATCCAACACACAGGTGTATAAGATTTCCAGAATGCTGTTACAGTAGCAGCCATTCAAAATGGCCCTTCCTAGTCAAACGCCAGCCGAATGGCAGCCCACTTCCCTCAAACTCTCAATGAAATCACCTCCAACTTCCAGCCACTGGAGTGACCCCCTCCGTCTCCTGGGTGTGCATATTTTTTTAACTCTGACTCCACCCTTTCAATGAATTACAGGGTCTGACCAGGAGACGACACGTCTCTTTAGATTTTAATGTCTACAAATCATGACAGAAAGACTATTTTACAAACATAGATTGATGTTTAAAAAGGAATTGTAGGGGACCAGCCGAGGGCCCATCAAGGAAAGTGGGGAAATTTCTAATGGCTACTACTGTACCTCATTGGAAAATATATTTATATTTCATTTAATCGGTTTTTAAACACTACTAAGTTTGCGTCAGATACCTTATATGCCATATTTACTTGGCTGAGATTTTCCTTTCGCATTCGTTTTTACACCTGGACTTTCTTTCAGTATATTGCTGTAATTACGATAACATCAGTTACACTTCTATCTTCCTTGAGGTCTTCTCAGCCAAAATATTTAGAAAAATGTGCATCATTTATTCCAAGCTTCTCTTGTCTTTCAAAGTTGAACAAATCCTCAGGAGGACAGCCTCTGCTATTATAATAAGCACAGCTGTAGGGGTGTGCTTCACGTAATGTTCTACACATCATCAAAAAAGTAGACTATCAGGGAAAGTTTTCCAGAATGGTGTCCTTACCACTTGAAGAATGGTGGGGTTGCAGCCGATGATGAAGGGCAGGCTGCGGAAGCCCTTGATGCGATGAGCGATCCGCACAGGCAGCTCCTTGTGAAGGTAATTGGCACTGCTCTGTGATCGCACACAGAGAAATATCAGTAAGAAGCTACAGAATACGAGGACAGACTATTTACAGTAGTACTCTCAGTGTGGGCGAAGTGTTTACCAAGATGTGGTGTCCATCAGGAGACTTCCCAGAATACAGGAGGGTGGCTAAGGTCAGTCGCACTGAAGCCTGTAGGCAGAGAAACACAGTTAGAGGATGGAGACTAAAAGCCCAAACGGCAACTGGAAAAGGGATTTCTCTGTTCTGTTGTCATCTATACAGGTGCTGGTCATAAAATTAGAATATCATGAAAAAGTAGATTGATTTCAGTAATTCCATTTAAAAAGTGAAACTTGTATATTATATTCGTACATTACATACAAACTCATATATTTCAGATGTTTATTTTGTTTAATTTTGATGATTACAAATGACAACAAATGAAAATCCCAAATTCATCATATCAGAAAATTAGAATATTACTGAAGACCAATAAAAACAAAGGATTTATAGAAATGTTGGCCAACTGAAAAGTACGAACATGAAAAGTATGAGCATGTACAGCACTCAGTATTTAGTTGGGCCTCCTTTGGCCTGTATTACTGCAGCAATGCGGCGTGGCATGGAGTTGATCAGTCTGTGGCACTGCTCAGGTGTTATGATAGCCCAGGTTGCTCTAATAGTGGCTTTTAGCTCTTCTGAATTGTTGGGTCTGGTGTATTGCATCTTCTTCTTCACAATACCCCATAGATTTTCTATGGGGTTAAGGTCAGGAGAGTTTGCTGGCCAATTAAGAACAGGGATACCATGGTCCTTCAACCAGGTACTGGTAGCTTTGGCACTGTGTGCAGGTGCCAAGTCCTGTTGGAAAATGAAATCTGCATCTCCAAAAAGTTGGTCAGCTGCAGGAAGCATGAAGTGCTCTAAAACTTCCTGGTATGTGGCTGCGTTGACCCTGGACCTCAGAAAACACAATGGACCAACACCAGCAGATGACATGGCACCCCAAACCATCACTGACTGTGGAAACTTTACACTGGACTTCAAGCAACGTGGATGAAGTGCCTCTCTTCTTTTCCTCCAGACTCTGGGACCTTGATTTCCAAAGGAAATGCAAAATTTACTTTCATCAGAGAACATGACTTTGGACCACTCACCAGCAGTCCAGTCCTGTTTCTCTTTAGCCCAGGCAAGACGCTTCTGACGCTGTCTGTGGTTCAAGAGTGGCTTGACACAAGGAATGCGACAGCAGAAACCCATGTCTTTCATACGTCTGTGTGTGGTGGTTCTTGAAGCACTCACTCCAGCTGCAGTCCACTCTTTGTGAATCTCCCCCACATTTTTGAATGGGTTTTGTTTCACAATCCTCTCCAGGGTGCGGTTATCTCTCTTGCTTGTACACTTTTTTCGACCACATCTTTTCCTTCCCTTCGCCTCTCTATTAATGTGCTTGGACACTGAGCTCTGTGAACAGCCAGCCTCTTTAGCGATGACCTTTTGTGTCTTGCCCTCCTTGTGCAAGGTGTCGATGGTCATCTTTTGGACAACTGTCAAGTCAGCAGTCTTCCCCATGATTGTGTAGCCTATAGAACTAGACTGAAAGACCATTTAAAGGCTTTTGCAGGTGGTTTGAGTTAATTAGCTGATTAGAGTGTGGCACCAGGGGCCATCAATTTTGAACCTTTTCACAATATTCTAATTTTCTGATATGATGAATTTGAGATTTTCATTTGTTGTCATTTGTAATCATCAAAATTAAACAAAATAAACATCTGAAATATATGAGTTTGTATGTAATGTATGAATATAATATACAAGTTTCACTTTTTAAATGGAATTACTGAAATCAATCTACTTTTTCATGATATTCTAATTTTATGACCAGCACCTGTATTGAACCAGATCCTACCTTTATCCCATTCCAATTAAAATTATGTCAGTTTAAAATTATATCAGTTAGCTATTAAAAATTAATGTATAAGAATTACCAATAAAACAAGAAATGTTTTGTTAAGAGGTTCATAGGACAAACACATGAAGCAGATAAACACAAACAGCCTTAAACCAATGTCCCATCAGCCATATTGACAGGAGGCTGATGGGACAATGGTTTAAGCTAGTTTTGCAGTCACATTTCTCAAGCACCCTGCTGACATCCAGGCGACCATGAACCACACTATATAGCAACGTATTCTAGATCCAAGGGGACCCTGTAGGGGCAGTGCTAGCCGTGCTAACTATGCAGGGGCAGTGCTAGCCGTGCTAACTATGCAGGGGCAGTGCTAGCCATGCTTACTCTGTAGGGGCAGTGATAGCCATGCTAACTCTGTAGGGGCAGTGATAGCCATGCTAACTATGAAGGGGCAGTGATAGCCATGCTAACTATATAGGGGCAGTGATAGCCATGCTAACTCTGTAGAGGCAGTGATAGCCAAGCTAACTCTGTAGGGGCAGTGCTAGCCATGCTAACTGTGTAGGGGCAGTGATAGCCATGCTAATGATGCAGGGGCAGTGATAGCCATGCTAACTGTGTAGGGGCAGTGATAGTCATGCAAACTTTGTAGGGGCAGTGATAGCCATGCTAACTATGAAGGGGCAGTGATAGCCATGCTAACTATATAGGGGCAGTGATAGCCATGCTAACTCTGTAGAGGCAGTGATAGCCAAGCTAACTCTGTAGGGGCAGTGCTAGCCATGCTAACTGTGTAGGGGCAGTGATAGCCATGCTAATGATGCAGGGGCAGTGATAGCCATGCTAACTGTGTAGGGGCAGTGATAGTCATGCAAACTTTGTAGGGGCAGTGATAGCCATGCTAACTTTGTAGGGGCAGTGATAGCCATGCTAACTCTGTAGGGGCAGTGATAGCCATGCTAACTGTGTAGGGGCAGTGATAGCCATGCTAACTCTGTAGGGGCAGTGATAGCCATGCTAACTGTGTAGGGGCAGTGATAGTCATGCAAACTTTGTAGGGGCAGTGATAGCCATGCTAACTTTGTAGGGGCAGTGATAGCCATGCTAACTGTGTAGGGGCAGTGATAGTCATGCAAACTTTGTAGGGGCAGTGATAGCCATGCTAACTGTGTAGGGGCAGTGATAGTCATGCAAACTTTGTAGGGGCAGTGATAGCCATGCTAACTGTGTAGGGGCAGTGATAGTCATGCAAACTTTGTAGGGGCAGTGATAGCCATGCTAACTGTGTAGGGGCAGTGATAGTCATGCAAACTTTGTAGGGGCAGTGATAGCCATGCTAACTTTGTAGGGGCAGTGATAGCCATGCTAACTGTGTAGGGGCAGTGATAGTCATGCAAACTTTGTAGGGGCAGTGATAGCCATGCTAACTGTGTAGGGGCAGTGATAGTCATGCAAACTTTGTAGGGGCAGTGATAGCCATGCTAACTCTGTAGGGGCAGTGATAGCCATGCCAGTCCAGGGACTGACTGCAGTTCTACTGTAAGGTGCCTTGGTCAAGATCAACGATCAGCTTATCTTACATGTAACAACCAGACCATGCATATTGCTTTAGGTTAATAGACTATAATAATTATGCTTTTTATGCCACAAAAAATTTATTTTTACTACCAGAATACTGGTGGTAACTGTTGATGCAAGAAGTCTTCCAACATATATTCAAAGAACCGTTGCTCTTCAACTGAATTCAGCAACAATTACAGTTTTTATTTTATATTGTAACATTTAAAAAATGTTTTTTTAATTATTGCATGACTAGAATAATCGAGGTTTAAATATAAGTGCTTTGAGAACACGGGGGAGGCTAAAGAATCCTAAAAAGCACCTCATCACAACATCAAAGTTTACACAAGAACATCTAAAGCTTAATGCGAGTTCAGGTTTCAACTCTTAAAACTGGCCTCTATGAAGACGAAAACTACGGCTGACCTGAAGTGACACCAGTCAAAAATGTATTTAAAAACATGCAGATGATATTTCAGACTTTAAGAAAACTATTTATGTGTTCAAATGTAGATACTGTAACCTGTATACCTAATATCTGTATGCGGAGAGCGCTGTAACCACAGTCATATTCTTTTATTTTACTCATAAATCATGGCTGATTAAACGGACTCCGATTCTTGAACAAAATGCCACAAAAGACGATGTTCGACAGTTAGGGGTCAAGAACATGGACAATAATCCAAAGTATATAATCTGGACCAAATCAATGGCTTGTTTCAGGAAAGAAGAGCGGATCAAAAACCCTCCTCAATGAAAACACAGATTTCCAGTCATTACCACTGATTTCCATTTGCTCTTTGGATTGCTGATAGGGCCGAAAAAAGCTTAATGGAGTCAGCCAATAAAAGGCCTGTAATGTAATTACGATAACGATGTAATCAACACATGTATTTCACACATACATAATCATTTTAGCACTTTTAGCACATCATCAGATAGTGTGTGTGTGTGTAATATTCTTGATATCTGACTACAGTATTATGCTCCATTAACACTCATTCTGTTGTGATGTAGTTGTATAATATGTCACATTACATGATTATAGACTGACTATGCACTGTTATATTTTTACCATAAACTACAGTAATCTACTGATGCTAAGAATCAGCAAGTGTGTGTAAAATGCATGATTTTATTTTAAAAGTCTTAAGCCCCCCTGGAAATGAAAAATTTATTGTTGTTCGATGCTGTAGCGCATGTACTGTTTACTTTCCAACCGGTTTAACCAGGGCAGGGGTCTGCAACCTGCAGCTCCGGAGCCTAATGTGGCTCTTTGGACACTCTACAATGGCTCTTAATAGTGCCTAAAAATGATATAAAGAACTAAATAATGTACCGTAAGAAAAAATACCAGTCTTAGACGCTTTTGTGGGTTTTATAAAAATACCGGAAAGCACCAGAAATATTTTTAGAGTCATTTTCCCTTGAATTAGCTTGGAAACTAGGTGTTATATTATTAGCATTTTTTATATAGATCATACTTCAGTTTTATGAATCGTTTTATGTTTTCCCTTATTTTAAAAGCAAAAAAATCTAAAAAAAAAAAAAAAAGTTCTTGTTTTTTTTTAAATGGCAACAGATTTCTTATGGTAGATTAATGTACACAACTGTCTAGTTTTGCCTAATGGAACACCTGACCCTATTGGCAGGTGAAAAGAGACCATCTCTGATATGTTTTGTTTCAGTCGACCAAGACAAATCCTATTTTTAACGTTTCATCTTCTAAAAGAAATCCTTTCTAAGGTCAAAAATGCAACGGACAGAGGGATATAATACTAAATGTTACCCCTTTGTGTTCACATAAAACACAGATATTGTTCTGCAGGAACCTCTTTAATTCTGCCCCCTGCAACCAGCAGAGGAAGAGTACCAGTCCTCAGCTGAGCCGTGACCTTCACCTCCTTTTAATATCTTTATTGAGTAACTCAGTTAGGAACCCATCTTTAACTCCAATAGAAGTTCTTAGTTTGGTTTTACTTAAATTATTATTATTATTTTTGGTAAACATCTTTATTTTAGCTTTATTACAAGTGGAGGACAGTGAAAATGAGAACAACCTGACCTACTTCCCCTGGTCCAACCCAGGGAAATTCTTTCCCTCTGTCTGGTGAGCAGAGCCAAGCAGGGAGACACTCCATGCTGGATTAATGTCCAACTTCATTTAGTTGGAGTTTAGTTGACTTTGGCTATGTTAAAAAAAAAACTGCATTACCTATTAAGAAATACAAGGTCTGTAAAACTTCACTAGAACTTATGTAAACACTTTAAATTACACCTCCTCTGGTGTATTTCTACAGTGAACAAAAGACTGTTTAGCAAGAGGGAACAGGTGGAAGATAGAGTGTATGTGGGAAAGAAAAACATCTGACTTCGCCAAGAAAAAAGAGGAAGGAAGAATTTCAACAGTGTGAAAAAAGCAGAGGTTTGTGCGGAAGAGGATTAGGGCCATTGAAGAAATAAAAAAAGTTAACTGATTTTTAAATATTATTAATTTAGTTTAAGGAGGGATAAAAGTCAGAATTCTGACTTTAATCTCAGAATTTCGACTTTTTTCACAGAAATTTGGATCTTAGTGTAGATGGGCACCATGGAAGAGCTGATTAAAACAAGAGAGCTAGTTTAGTCTCTAAAACAGACATGGCTACGGCTTGATGCTAACATGTTTGTTAGCTGTCAGAATTCTGTCAGAATTTTGAAGTCGGAATTCTGAGATTAAAGTCGGAATTCTGACTTTAATCTCAGAATTTCGACTTTTTTCACAGAAATTTGGATCTTAGTGTAGATGGGCACCATGAAGGAACAGATGTGGAGCACTCAGCTTTACTGACAAACGTGTGAGTCATTTGGAAGGATCTGTAACACATTGGTGGAAAATGGTGGAATTAGGTGACTTTTTACGTCCCTGAGGGGTCCCTGGTGAGGCTATTTCATTAATGGAAGAGCTGCTTAAAACAAGACAGCTAGTTTAGTCTCTAAAACAGACATGGCTACGGCTTGATGCTAACATGTTTGTTAGCTGTCAGAATTCAGTCAGAATTTTGAGATTAAAGTCAGAATTCTGAGATTAAAGTCGGAATTCTGAGATTAAAGTCAGATTTCTGAGATTAAAGTCAGATTTCTGAGATTTAAGTCGGAATTCTGAGGTTAAAGTCGGAATTCTGAGGTTAAAGTCGGAATTCTGAGATTAAAGTCGGAATTCTGAGACTAAAGTCAGATTCCTGAGATTAAAGTCGGAATTCTGAGATTAAAGTCGGAATTCTGAGATTAAAGTCGGAATTCTGAGATTAAAGTCGGAATTCTGGGATTAAAGTCAGAATTCTGACTTTTTTCTCATATTATACTGAAATAAAATGTAAAAATCTTTTTATTTCAGTGGCCCCAATCCTCTTCCGTAGGTTTGTAATAATGAAACAATGCATTTATAACAATGTCACCCACCCCTTTGCAGGAGTTAAGGCGTTTCGGTTGCTTTGAATTTAAATGTATTTTCTTTTTGTCTTTCCAGGGTTGCTTTCAATCACTGTTCCATTTAAATTCAAATTAAAGTAGGAGGGTCAAATGCTCAGATCAGGGCCCTAGGTCATAGCTGAAACCTTATTCTATTCTTGTGACCTTTTCTAAACTATCAGTTTGGCAATACATACAGTTTTATTTTAACTGAACTATTTATTAGTAGGATAAATTAATAACCCTCTTATTTAGATTAACATTTATGTGCTTTTGATGCTGCATTCAAGGCCGCATTGATATCTAAACAAATCAGAGCCAAAATGTAACAGTTCACTGAATCTTTAAATTTTTTTTAGAAATAGATTTTTTTGTTTGTTTTTTAATTAGAAGTCTGTGTTCTGAGCAGAATAATCTTGCTAAGAAACATCGCTTAACCATTTTTTCGAAATATAGCTCAGCCATTTGCTTATTTTACCGTTTAACGTCGTTTCTCCTGTTAGGTTAAAGAGGGCGAGGTTAGCCGCCTGTTTATTTGAGTGAATTACATTTACATTAATGTACAACAAATTTAGCTCTCTTCCTCTCCTTAATTTGTAGTTATGTGAACAGTCTGGGCGAAAAATTTGTTTTTTCAAATTTCCTCACTCCTTGAACGTAGCACCAACCTCGCTAGCTCGAGCCAGCTCCAGCCGGCTCGCGCTAACACTCCCCTCGCTGCAGACACAACATTTAAACGGTTACCTTTTCCGCCGATACATCGATGGCAGACTGGTTGTAAAACGAAGTGACCGTCTTTGACCGCTCTCTTGCCAGTTCTGAGAAACCCTGCGCAGACGACGTGGACCGGAATCTCTGATTCCCACTGCCGGTCTGCAGCGCAGCCGGTGATGTTTTGGTTGTCGATGCGAGGAAGAGGCTGCCGAGCCTCGGCCTTGCCCTGCCGGTGACACCGCTCAGCATCTCCGCCGCTATGCCTGCCAGGCCAGGTCGCATTTGGAGACGAGCTGAAAGCGCGAACAGGGCTCGCCCGTTCCCGGTGCAGAAAAGAAACTTGAGTTTTCTAGTTGCTATGAGGCCATGAGGGCTTTGTCAGCTTTGTGCACAAAGGCACGTATCTGATCTGAATACAGTAACTACGGGGTACAGAGAGGCCTTTGCACCCATTGGCCAGTGGGTCAAAGATGAAGGAAGCAGAAGGGCGGTTCAGCCAATCAGCGAGCAGCTCAGAGGCGGAGCTTAGTACCATAAACTACCCCACCACAAAGGCACATACTGTACTGTACAGGCGAGAACCGAAGGAAGAACAACAGCGCCAAAAAACAACTCAGCATTTATTAACATTTTCCCACAAAAAGAGAAAAATACACCACTTTTAGTTTTTTTTTTTAGACAACCAACCTACCCTAGTTAAACCAAACAGTTTCACTGTGTATTTCTATGCAATAAAAAATGACCTTTTCTGCCTTGTAATAATAAGAAAACATTTGATTTGAGCTGCATTTTACAAAATTGAAGAAAATTAGAGAAGCTTATCTCATAGTTAGGAGATAAGATCGGGGGCGGATTTAGGATATTTGGGGCCCTAGGTAAGACAGGCAGGGGCCCTCTGAATTGAGAAGGCAATACATAAAACAAACCCATTATACAGATAGAGAAATGTTAATAGAATAGACATCTGTTCTAGGTTTGGTCCCTCTCTTCTTGTTTTCCTCTCTATGTTTTGTACTCGGCTGACTTTTCATGCTGTCTCTAAAGGAATGATTTTCTCCAAGCACTAAGCTCACTTAGCTGATTGCTCCTTCCTGTGTTTCCAAAAAGGCCAAAGTAAATAACCCAGTCCTTCTTTTCACTGTAGACAAGCCATGATCTGCTTATCTGTTCTCCATTTTTTATTTGGATGAAATAATAGCTGCATGAATCATGACAGCAGACAAGATAGAGGAGAGCAGGAGGCGGGGCTACCAATCTACTTGCTCTGGAGAGCAGAGTTCGCTGCTTTTAGATGTTGTCGCCAAAGTCTCCAGTAGCAGAAAAAAGTTGCTAGATTTTGTGCTAGGCGCTTTTTTGAAATAAAGGTACTAGAGGGGTCTGATGGTGTGGTGAAGCTGACGAGGGAGAACGCTTTGATAAAATGCATTAGTCCCAACAAGGATACAGGAGAGCCAGCAATCACTGCCATGAGGTCATTTGTGAGTCTTAGAGCTATTTCAGTGTCATAGATTTGCTACTGCTTCTTTTGGTGCAGGATTACCCTCGACTGTTACCTTTACAGTTGCCTTTTGTATCTATGCTTCTTTTTCTATGTCTGGTTCTGTCTCCTGGAACCCCAGTCGGCCTCAGCAGATGGCCGCTCACACTGGTTCTGCTGGAGGTTTCTTCCTGTTAAAAGGGAGCTTTTCCTCTCCACTGTCGCTACAAGCATGCTTAGTGTGAGGGATTGCCTTCGAGTCAATGGGTCGATGCAATCAACTGGTTTTCCTTAGTTAGAAAACTTTGAATCAATCTGACTGAGATGACGTGTTGTGAATTGGTGCTATAGAAATAAACTGAATTGACTGTTTATCAATCAGGAAATGTGTGTACCGGCAGCAAACCAAAGTAGGCTCCTGAGAGATTAAACCAGAAAAACACAGACCATGTCGGTTCCTGTGGAACCTGTAGTAATTTGGGTCCAGATTTTCACCAATATGGATAAACTGGTCAATCACCAGCAATCATAAACATCTAAAACTATTAAAATAAGCTCTGTGATTAATCTTTCTCATATAAGAAAACATAAAAAGTTTGATATCTGGAGATCCTTTCATGATAGTGTTTTACAACCTATTTTTTCTTGCCTATAAATTCTGGGATCGCTCCTCTAAACCTATATATATATAAAAAAAAAAAAATCTTTTATATCTGTTCGATTATTCGTGGAGAGTAGGACACAGCAGAGAGCAAAAGCAGGAAGAAAAAGCAATAACAAAAGGACGGGAGATAAAGGAATGATAACAGTATTAGACGTGTGCCCGCTGGAAGAACTAAGGAATCAGAAAACATGAACATATCGGCTGATGAGGTTACCAGAAAAACAAAAAGCAGCTAATATCGCCCTAAAATATCTTTAATCTCAACCTGCAAGTTAAGATTCATGTTTGATCCAGAATGTTGTTTTCATTTACACCACTACATAAAACACTTCAGACCAAGAACAAATACAAAAAGCCTTTTAATTACATGTAAAAACATACATGTAAAACGTCACCAACCTCTCAAAAAAGAGAGGTAGCAACAAACGCACACATGCTGTGTTCCACAGCTTCAAGACGCAAATTATATGTTGCTCTCAACAGCTACGAAAAATGATCACAATGTCCCGGACTCTCTGTTTTTATGCTTCACAGCAAGTTTCAGCACTAGTGACATTTCTTTAAAACACTACAGGCTATTTTCAGATTGGTTACCATTAAACTTGTGTTTGTAAAATCAAATGTATGTAAAACCCACATACCAGACCGGTTTAATATCTTGGCTGTAAGGTTAGATTAAAAATCTGTACCAAACGCTGATATAAAAGTTTGCAAATAAGAAAAATTAAAGCTTCAATCTCAAACCGAAACACTGCAAAGTAATCACATATGTAAAATCAGACACATTTTTGATATGGGTAGAGATCTTTTCTTTAAACAGAGTTGGCTAAAATTCAAAACTATATATAATAATAGACAAAACTTTTACATTTTCAAAACAAAACATTTTTTAAAAAGCAAGTTGTGATCATATTCTCAAGATATGTAATTTAGTTAAATGTCCTAAAAATGAGGAACACTGTTTCTTAAGAAAATACCAACATATGGTACTTTCACCTCTTTTCTGACGGGACAAAGAAAGCCTCAAGGTCTAAAAAGCTGTAAATCTCTAAAATATATGTCCATGTTTCTTCAGGATGACGCCTCAGTTTTCCAAATCATCACCATGTTCTTATCAGTCAGGCCGACCAGGTAGTGAAGCTCAGGGTCCATCGCCACGCTGTTGATGGAGGGGCCCTCCATTCGGCCCAGGCCTTTTCTCATCGGAGCTGGCCAATCTAACACCTAGGAAAAAAGGCAACACATCACAATATCTTAAATTAAATGTAACTTTTTAGCAAGTTTCTTACTTTTTGAGAAAGGAAAGACATTGGATGCAATATTAATTTACTTTTTGTATTCTTATATAAGTAAAAGGTCAAGTAAAAGGGCGGAGTTTGTGTGTTAAACTATCAGTTTTGCACAAGAACCCCCCTTCATGCTTCAGATGTGTGTTTTAGGAAACTGCAACAGATGCTTGCAGTGAGGGTATTGTTTACATCCTGCTTGTTTACAGAGTAAGTTCTTCCACCATCTGGCTCCATTTCAGTCCGGCCGCCATTCTCTCAGATTTCAGCAAATATCTTTCCTGGGGTATCATTAGCTAAGCACCGGATGACATCTCTCAGAAGGATGTTTCTCCTATTGTACCCTATACATGCAGAAAGGGCAGAGAGAGAAGAGCAAAAGGAATAAAGACCTCAGTGGGTGGAATGGGTCTCCCGGTCTGTAAGCTGTTTTTCTGGAGGTTGGTGACGTGATAAGTCCATATCTGGCCCTTGTGATCGCCACATGCTATGTAGTTCCGTCCTGAAGACAACAGACACAGGAAGTTAGCAGTTTGTTATATCAAACAGTCAGCAGGTAGCCCCAAAGTTTCAAGCTCCAGTCCTTAATGACCGACGACCAACAAGTTCTGGATGAACACATCTGTAAAACAGGGCACAAGGTTCTGCAGATTCCTTCTAATGACTTAACTTTGCAATTCACCCTAACGAAGGAAGGAAGGAAGGAAGGAAGGAAGGAAGGAAGGAAGGAAGGAAGGAAGGAAGGAAGGAAAGAAGGAAGGAAGACAGAGAGAAGGAATGAATGAAGGAAGGACAGAAATAAGGAAGGAAGGACAGATGAAAGACAGAGAGAAGGAAGGAAGGAAGGAATGAAGGAAGGACAGAAATAAGGAAGGAAGGAAGGAAGGAAGGAAGGAAGGACAGATGAAAGACAGAGAGAAGGAAGGAAGGAAGGAAGGAAGGAAGGAAGGAAGGAAGGAAGGAAGGAAGGAAGGAAGGAAGGAAGGAAGGAAGGACAGAAATAAGGAAGGAAGGAAGGAAGGAAACCAGGAAGCAAGGAAGGAAGGACAGATGAAAGACAGAGAGAAGGAAGGAAGGAAGGAAGGAAGGAAGGAAGCAAGGAAGGAAGGACAGCTGAAAGACAGAGAGAAGGAAGGAAGGAAGGAAGGAAGGAAGGAAGGAAGGAAGGAAGGAAGGAAGGAAGGAAGGAAGGAAGGAAGGAAGGAAGGAAGGAAGGAAGGAAGGAAGGAAGGAAGGAAGGAAGCCTTTTTTTCTTCAATCAGATTCCAGGTTTTTCCAGACTCAGCAGGATCCCTGATTTACCTGGGCAGGTATTTAGAGCCAGGTAGGGAATGCCAGTGTTGGCCCACTGCAGCTCAGCCAGAACCACAGCACACACAGAGCCGTTCTTCTTGTCCGGCCGCTGAGACCTGGTCCTGCTCCAGCTCCAAAGGTAAATGGATCCGTGGGTGTGGCTCTTAGAGGCTACCATAGAGACCCACGCAGGCAGAAAAAGAAAAACCAGGAGAAGAGTTAGAAGTTTGATTCAAAACAAAGAAGGGATATCTGTGTGTAAATGGCTTTCATTTGATCTCTTTTTTTAAATAAAACAAGATAAACTTTAAGAACTATACTTATTAAAGCCACTTTATCCCATCTCCCTTTATGCACTGCAAATATAATATAGAAATAAGTAAAAAACGTATTAAATGAAGAGTATTTACCCTTAATTTAAGTAGGTAAATAAGATGATTTGCAGATGGAATAAACATTTTTACTCTGAAAGTAAGATAATTAGATATTATATACTTGAAATAAGACAATGTCATTGTTTTTTCTTATTCTAAATGAAAATTGTCTCATTCCATTGGTAAAGTGTCTCACTTTCCTCCTTAATTAAAGAAAAAATTCACATATTCTAAGAAAAAATTACATTTAAATACATTTTTTTAACAGAGTTGTCTAAAATATTGGAAAATAGACATGCGAGTAATAAGCATTAAATGCTTTAATGACAGAAACAGTTACACCGCCACCATGTGGTCTTTAAGAAATATTACATGATTCAGATGTCCCAAGCAGGTTGGAAAACACCGACAAATTTCACAAGTAGCTGTTCTAAATGCTAGACAGTAGGAACCCGACTTACCCACAACATCATCAGAAAGAAAACTCAAACCATCGATAGTGTGATAGTCGTGTTGTTTGCCCTCCTTTTTATAAATGGGAAAAGTTATTTCCATTTCCTTCGACCTGATAAGGAAGAAACAACAGTAATCAGCAAAAGCCGCTCTTTGTGGAATTTTGTTTTGTGTTTTCTACGGGAGAATTATCCTGCCATAATGCAAGAGCACATCATTTCAATTTGAGAAAAGAATTTCATCTTCTTGCACTCAAAACTTATAATGCTCACACTCAAAACATGCGCTCTCTCTCAAATATTTTCTCTTCTCTCTCAAATCTTTGTTTCTTCTCTCAGATTTAATGCTTCTTGCACGGATATTTTCTCCTCTCGCTCGCCTCCTTCTCTTCGCGCACTTCTGCTCGAGTCTCAGTTACGCTCGCAAACCCGTAGGCTCTGCTTGCGGATTTTTTTGCTCTCTCTCAGATTGCAGGTGGATCGTCGCCTAGCAACCTTTCCAGCCAATAGAACTACAGCCTCAGAAAGGGTGCGCTTGTTTAACCCTACTGAGTGTGCCTGTGCTACTACGCCACTTATAAGAGCGTCAGCTGAAACTGCTATTTACAGTAGTTTTGTGGCTCGATTCAGCAAAGTTCAGTACCTTTGGATAACCCAAGAAATTCTGATAGGGATGCACGATATTGGGATTTTGGCCGATATCCGATATGCCGATATTTTAAAACTCATGTAGCCGATAACCGATATCGATACCGATGTTAAAGCTGGACAAAAATAAATAGTCATTGAAATTAGCAGTTTTGTTATCCATTTCTGACACTTTGAAAAGTAATAAACTCAAATATATTTTCATTTGCTGATATCAAATTGATTTTTAAAAACGCGGTATCGATCTATTTTACTTTCAAAATCTCGTGAAATTTCATCATTCTGTTACAAACTCTCGTGATATTTTGCAAATTCTTGTGAGATTTTGTTAGTAAAATAGATCGATACTGCGTCAATATATCAACATATAAAAATATGGCAACATTTTGTGAATTTTTGGGGGATTTCGTAGCATAACGATGACATATAGCAATATTTCATTAGTAAAAGAGATTGATATGGTGTTTTTAAATGGCAATATATCAGCATATGAAGATATTGGGATATTTTAATGTATCAATATTTTTTCCCTCGTCTTTAGAAGTTTTTAAGTCTTTAAAAAGAAGTTTTTGAGGAAGAAGAAGAAGTAGTATTTTATTTTTTTTTTTAGACTTTAGAAACTCAGAAGCTGACCAAATATCGGGTTATATTCAGTTTTAAGGCCGATACCGATAGGGGGCCGATTATATCGTGCATCCCTAAATTCTGAAGTAAGTAATTTTAAACAATTAGTGGTTTGTTATGTACAAAAGCAAAGAACCGACATATTAAATTATTATCTTGAAATACTTTGTTTATTATAATGAAGTATAATTTTGGAGAAGTAGAAACAAGTATTGATTTCAAAGTAGCACAGGCACACTCAGTAGGATTAAACAAGCGCACCCTTTCTGAGGCTGTCGTTCTATTGGCTGGAAAGGTTGCTAGGCGACGATCCAACTGCAATCTGAGAGAGCAAAAAAAATCCGCAAGCAGAGCCTACGGGTTTGCGAGCGTATCTGAGACCCGAGCAGAGCGCGGTTTGTGCGCGAAGAGAAGGAGGCGAGCGAGAGGAGAAAATATCTGTGCAAGAAGCATTAAATCTGAGAGAAGAAACAAAGATTTGAGAGAGAAGAGAAAATATTTGAGAGAGAGCGCATGTTTTAAGTGTGAGCATTATAAGTTTTGAGTGCAAGAAGATGAAATTCTTTTCTCAAATTGAAATGATGTGCTCTTGCATTATGGCAGGATAATTCTCCCATAGTTTTCTGATCAGACCTAAAATCTGCAGAATGCCCTCACCTCTTTGTGGTGCTGTTTCCACCCAGTTGTGTTTTGTAGCAGTACAAGCCGTCTTCACAAGCCGTCAGCAGGTGTGTGTCGGGGGAAGAAGGGGGCAGGCAGATGTGCAGAGGCGTAGCGGAGAGCTCCAAGATCAGCAGCTGACTGTGGGGGACAATAGTTCAATTTCACTATGTTTGCCAATTTTTTAAATAATGCTCCTTCAGCTGTTTTGAAATTGCCTCAGATTAAAACTGCAAACCACTGCAAATAATTGCAAGACTGTCAAGACTAACAAACACAGTTACATGGACAGCGAAGAGGGAAGGAAATGATCAAATCAATCTGAAAAATGTGTCATCCATTTGTTCTCAACCTCCTTTTTAACGGGAAAACCTGGTTTAGCTGCAGGTCTAACTGAAAGTTTTCTAGGAGTTCGTCTTTCTCAGCTTTCTCAGTTAACACCAGCGGCGGCTGGCCAATAGAGGGCGCTAGGACCCAATGACCCTGATTAAGACATAAAAATATATATATTTACTTATAATTAAATTGTAAATGTATAATATTTCAAAGTATATTAATATCAATTTTTTAGATCTGCAAAATAAATATTTAATCTTCAATGACTAGTACACTGGGAAAACGATCTAGAAATAGGTAAACATTTCTTTAATTAAATGTATTTACCCTTAATCTGAGTAGGTAAATTAGATAGTTTGCCAGTGGAATGAGTATTTTTACTCTTAAAATAAGATAATTAGAAAATATGCATTTGAAATAAGACAATTCAATTGTTTTTTTTCTTATTTTAAGTGTAAATTGTCTTGTTCCACTGGCAAAATGTAACTTTTACCTCCTCAATCCAAGAACAAATTCACTTATTTTAAGAAAAAAAGACTTATCTAGATTTTTTTTTTCCAGTGTTAAGCGTCATTGCATTTTTCGTGGGATTGGTGACGTGTTTCCGCCTTAGGGCGCAAAAGTCTTTACTCATTGACTCTGGTTAGAAGTTGCACATGCGCGGCAGCTCCTCTGCAATACTAGCCTCGTGAGACCATCCTGATCTCGCGAACTTTCAAGGTTTCACCCGCAGATCCGTCTGGAGACTCTCCGTTGAAGAAAATTTGGAGCCGTTCACCAAACGAACGTCCAATCAGCGTTGGCTTTGAGGCGGGTTGAGGTGTGACGCAACAAGAAGCGCGACAGTTCAGTCTAAAGAACATGGCGGCTTCAGCCGATGAAACTAGCGTTAGCGTGAGCAAGTTTTATCGGAATTACAGAGTATTTGTTCACTGAAAGAAGAGCAAAACACTGCTCTGGAGGCTTTTCTCAGAGGAAAAGATGTTTTTGCTCTTCTCCCGACTGGTTTCGGCAAGAGTTTGATCTATCAATTGGCTTGTGCCTGGCTTGTGGTTGTGTTTTCGTCGTCGCTCTGTTATTAGGTCATATGCTTCTTTGATCTGATTGGTTTATTTGGCCCGTCTATCACCAGCATAGGCGGAGCAAATCCAGCAAATCCATCTGGCGGAGTCAGGTTAACATTTTAGTGCTTCTTTAAATATTTCAGAGTTCTCACTGATTGGCTATTTAATAGCCAATCAGTGAGAACTAATTAGGCAAACAGCTTGCCATAGTTTTCTCCCATGGCTGAATGGCTGTTGGAGTCCCTGTTGAGTCGCTCTTTGTCTGGTACCGTGCTCATGGACCTTACTGCCTAGGTGGACCTTAGCAGGAGCTTGGGACACAAGCCTCTCCACCACGACAAGGTGGCGACTCTCCGGAGAGGAACATTCACTCACACACTCACACCAGATATTTGAGGGGAAAAGCAGCCAATACCTGCCAGTCTTTCTGCTAGGCTACAATGCTATCAGCACTGTTCCACCATGCTGCCCTTTGAAACATTTGGGATGTTTCTAATTTACAGCCTGATGACTCTTCATCACATGAAAAACCCAAACATCCATCCATCCATCCATCCATCCATCCATCCATCCATCCATCCATCCATCCATCCATCCATCCATCCATCCATCCATCCATCCATCCATCCATCCAAAACCCTTTTTTTTTTTTTTTTTTATGTATTTTTTTTTTTAACTGCTGGAACAGATATAAATCCTATAGAAGCAGCTTTTAGTCCTCCCGCTCCACTAATCTGGAATAAATGTAGTCACTGGGTAAGTAGAGAGGTAGGTGGCGGTCAGTGTTGTGCCTGAACGCGTTCATTGAACGAAAGTTCATGAACTCGTTCATATTTTGAGCGAACGTGAACTGAACGTACTGCATTACTGCCTGATGAACGTTATTGTGAACTCGTTCATTCTGGTGTCTGTGAACGGCACGCTCTCTCAGTTCAACTCCGTTCAATAGGTTGCCAGATTTCTATAGAGCCCTCCAGGCGAAACCTCGGCTAAATCACACCGTAAACAGGCCTTAATATGTAGCGGGAAAAACACCCAATCTGGCAACACCAGCTACCAGCGTCGTAGCCTACAGCCGCGTGCGTCATCAAAACAAAATGCATAGTGGGAGCCACAGCAGCATGGAGGCGACCGTGGAGGCGAAAAAGCAGCAGTATGATCACTTAAAACAGTTTTATGACCAGGTGGTCGGTGAGGATGATGGCAACAATCTTACATTTCTCTGCAAACTTTGCCCGTCGGCTTTCAGTAAAAAAATCTGCACTTAAATCTGCCTGGTATAATTTTCCAGGATTCCAGTATTCCTTTTTCGTATGTACTGAAATGGGATTTCAAATGGAAAAATAATAATAATAAAAAAAATAAATAAACATTTGCACCTTAAAGACTACTTTCCTGTTTTTCTTTTAATAATTCCTCATAAAAAAGACCATTCAAGCAGCACATTCTTCCTGATGTTTTGTAGAATATACTGTAGGGGTGAAAGCTGCAGCTGCTACTAGTGTGAAGTGAATGGACAGCAACAAAGCGTTAAAGCAACAATGGGGAAATGCTGTCCCCTCAATGCTAATGTAAACCCTGGTTGGATAAGGATTCAAAACTGGATATGAAGATGAAATCTGACGCACAGTTTCAGAGTTACAACTGATAAAATAATTGCTGTCTGTGGTTCTACAGTAAGCTATGGTGTAATTGAGCAATATATGAAAAAAAAAAAGAACTATGAACTAGTTCATTTTTTGGAACTGTGAACTTAGTTCAAAAAATTGAATTATGAACTATGAACTGAACTAGTTCATTTTAAAATGTGTGAACTGAACTTTGAACTAGTTCACGTAGAAAGAGAACTTTCCCAACACTGGTGGCGGTAGAGCGTTAACTTAATTTCAGTCTGAATGGACGTTTCTACGTTGCTCCATTCCATCTCCTTTCTTGCACTCTGCAGAATCTGTTAGTTCAATCTCTAACGTTCTGCTCTCTTTGCTTTTTCTCATAGTAGCTTCATCTGGTCTGTTCCTGTTTAGCTGTGACTCCATCCTGGAGAGAAATATCAGCTGTGCTGCTGCCATCAACACCTTTGTTTCTAGATGTTGGAGCTCGATCTGTTTTCCAGTGTAGTCCTGTGTCTCTGACTGTGACTAACTGGATGTGCTCTCTTCATCCTCTGACATGGGAGCTGGCTCAGAGCTCGTCTGCCTGGCTGTGTGTTTCCTGGACGGTGCCGCCTTTTACAGCTGCTTTTTCAATGTCTGCTTCTGTCTCCTTGAACCCCAGTCGGCCTCAGCAGATGGCCGCTCACACTGAGCCTGGTTCTACTGAAGGTTTCTTCCTGTTAAAAGGGAGTTTTTCCTCTCCACTGTCGCTACAAGCATGCTTAGTGTGAGGGATTGCATATTGCATATTTCAATTGCGGATTGAAATATCAGCTGCGCTGCTGCCATCAACACCTTTGTTTCTAGATGTTGGAGATCGGCCTGTTTTCCAGTGTAGTCCTGTTTCTCTGACTGTGACTAACTGGATGTGCTCTCTTCATCCTCTGACATGGGAGCTGGCTCGGAGATTGTGAGGGATTGCTGAAGAGTCAATGAGTCGATGCAATCAGCTGGTTTTCCTTATATAGAAAACTTTGAATCAATCTGACTGGATGATCTGGTTGAATTGTTTCTATAAAAAGACCTGAGACGTCATGGTGTGACGTTTTGACTGAGCGATTTAAACAGCATCTTTTTAAATAATCTTTCTGATCTTTTATACAATCATCTTATTTTGATGATTCACTTTTATTCTCTTTAATTTTCTGTTGTCTCTTTGGCGCTACAGTCTTTCTTTTTCTTTCTGTTTTCCTCATGTTCAGCTCTTTGAATTGTCTGCCACTGAAATCTTCTGCATAGATCAACCTGCCTCGCTTAGAGTCTGTAGCTGAAGCTCTAATAGGGAGACGTCTTCTGGTTGTTTCTGCTTTGGTGCCTGAGGCGGATATGATGCTGATGGATCTACTGGCAATATCCCAACAGATGGACTGGAATCCACTGGAATTCAAACAGGGTTTGGCTGTTGGAGTCTTTTTAAGGGGCTTCCAGTGAGAAGGTCTGGTTCTTATGGTGACCAGGAAGCACGTCTCTGGGCACAATCATTCACGCACCAATACACTGAAGAGGCCAATTAACCAGATAGGTGGGGGAAACCGGAGCACCCGGGGAAAACCCACGCAGACATGAGGAGAACCACTTCTCCACCATGCTGCCCTTTTTTTTTTTTTTTTTTTTGGGATGTTTGGATTAAAACATTTCCAAGGCCAATTCTGTCAGTATGGTGGTTCAGGATGTTTAGAGCTGATGGTGTCCAGTTCAGTCCCAGTTTAATTGAACCCTGATAAAGTCTCTCTGCGTCACTAAAAGGTTCTAGGCCCTTTCTTCTGAGGTGGACTTGTTTCTCTTGAATTGTTCTGGTTTCCTCAAACCCAGAGAGTGGCGAAACCTTTTCCAGGGGCTCTTTTTCCTTTTCTCTGGGACTTCCTCCTCGGTGAGTTGAAGGATGGAATCCTGACTGATTTCCTCGTTAATGGATGTTTGTTTGAGGGCTGAGATCTCTTGCTGCAGTTCATCCCTTTCAGCTCTAAGTTGGTTGATCAGATCAAGGTCCTCTGCTGATTTCTTTACAGACGTATCTGCCTCATCATTGAGGAGCGTCTCTAAACGTTCTAGCTTTCTTTTCAGGTGAAGAACCTCCCTTTCCTTCTCAGAGACGATTTCCTGGTGGGAAACTCTTTCTTCTTCCAACTCTCTCTGCTTCAGAGTCTCTGTTGCTTTGAATTCTTCTTGCAGGCCTGAGATTTTCTGAGCCATTTCCTGTCGGAGAGCCTCGTTCTCTGCTGCTAGGCCGTTGATGACCTGAAGGTTGGACGCCAATGTCTGTGAATGGGCTTCTCTTTCTTCATCCAGCTCTTGTTTTAGTGTTTCTGTCTGTTCTCTCAGGGTCAGATTGTCCTGTTGGTACTTCCTGATAGCTTCCTGCTGTGAAGCCCTAATCCGGTCCACCTCCTCCTGGAAACCAGCTGCTGGGTCTTCAGGCGTTTGTTCGAGGGATTCTAACATCTTGTCCATGGTTTCAAACATGCTCTTATTCAGGACCTCCATTTCGGTCATTTTGTTGGAGGTTCTCTGGTTGTTTGCGTTCAGCTGCTGTTTTAAACTATCAAGCTCTATTTTCAGCAGGCTAACCTCCACCTCATACTTCCTTATGACCTCTTTGTCAGAAAGCGTGACTTCTTGCAGCTGTCTCTGCAGACGTGTCTCCGTCTCCTCTGCGCTTTGTTCAAGTCTCGCCATTTTTTCAGCCATTTCTTGCCGGAGAGCTTTGTTCTTGGCTGTGAGGTTGTTAAACATCTGGATGTTGGTCATGGACGTCTTTGAATGACGTTCCATCTCCTCCATCAGTTCCTGCTTCAGCGTTTCTGCCCGTTGTTTCAGAGTAGCTGTATCTTTTTCATACTTCTCAGTCATTTCCCTGTGTGAAGCCTTTACGGTTTCCAGCTCTCTCTGCAAATTGGCCAGCATGTTTTCAGTTTTTAGCTCCAGGGATTCATGGACCTTCGCTTCCTTGGCCTGGAACTCATTCTCTGCTTTCTTTGAGTTGTTTTCTCCTTCTCTAGTTAACTCCTGCTCTAATTTCTCCGCTTGCTGCCTCAACATAAGAATCTCCGTCTCGTTCTTAGAGATGGTTTCCTGACTGGAGGTCTTAAGCTGCTCCAGTTCGTTCTGCAGAGTTTTGTTCTGGTCTCTCAAAGTGCTTATAAGCGTTCGTCCATGCTCTACTTTCAGCTCCCATGCTGCGGTTTGATTCTTCTGATTCTGCAGCTGGTTCTTTGTATCTTGTAGTTCTTTTGCCAAATAGTTCACCTTACGCTGCTCTTCTTTCACTGCTTTTCTTTCCACATCCAAAAGATGTAAGAGTCGGTTCGTCTCCGCGTCAAAGTAATGACCAGGCGGAGGATTTCTGCCTTGAACCCAGGCACCCTGGTTGTACTGGTTTCTCCGTCCACTTTCCTGGACATACTGCCCCCTCGGCTGGAATCTTCTTGTCTGGTTTGACATTTTTACTCAAATACGATTGGAGGAAAATAATTCACTGAAAACGATCAATGTTTGCTAGAAACTCACTGTATGTGTTGTGTGCTCTGTGGGTCCAGGGAACTGTGGTTGGAATAATGTGTGGAATGGGAGAAATCAGAATGTCTGGGGGAGGTCTTAGAATTAGAATGACATCATAGAATCAGTTTGAACATAAACAATGAATATTACAGTTTACTTTTGTTTATGTTCAAAATTAGACTAGAATCTATTTGGTGTTTCAATTGCAAAGCAAGGAGCATAGAACGCCATTGTGTCTTTCTATGCTCCTATTGTGGCAAACACACAATATAGGTATCAAAACGTCTGGCTCCGTCTAGGCAAGGGTGTGATTACTTATATAAGCAATTGGAGTTATCTATGTTGTTTGATTAAAATAAACGTTGAAGAAAAACACGGGACAACTGGCGTACGTTTCTGTCGAACTGTATTGAATAACTGCCGTTCTCATACAATGCTCTGCCTTACATACCAAGGGAGTAAGGTTCCCCCTAGTGGTCACATTTGGTATAACACATGGCAGGTTTTATCACATAAACACTGGTTAACACCACAATCTATATTTATATTTGAGCCTTTGCTGTGTGGGCATACATTAACCTACAAACACAGTTTAAACTGCCATTTGTAGATAAATCCTTCGACTTTCAAAAACTGAAAACGGTATATTGATAACTGTTACGGTTTTTCTAAAATCAGCCTTTAAGCACCACAAAGGTTGAGGGAAAATCAGACACCATCCATCCATCCATCTATAGATATCTATCTATCTATCTATAGATATCTATCTATCTATAGATATCTATCCCGACTGGTTTCGGCAAGAGTAGCCTGGCTTGTGGTTGTGTTTTTGTCGTCGCTCTGTCAGTACGTCATATGCTTCGTTGATCTGATTGGTTTATTTTGCCCGTCTATCACCAACATAGGCCAATCAGCTAACCAGTATTTTCGCCCCTTCCCAAAATTACTTCTAAGGAAGGTTTCCAGATGGATATGCGGAGCAAATCCATCTGGCGGAGTCAGGTTACTGCAATACAGAAGTATAGGAGAATTCGGGGCGCATCTCTGGTGTGCCCCGAGTTGACAGGAAGTGTCTTTGCTAACCACCTCCCACCACAGCGCAGTTTTTTGGCGGTCGATTGATAGGTCGAGTTGCGGGAGTTGGAGACGCACTGGAGGGAGAGAGAGCCTACGCTCACACTGCAGCCCAAATGCGATTTTTTTTTTACCCATATGCGACCTGGATCTGATCTTTTCATGACAATCTAAACAAGACAGATCCTATTTTTTCCAATTCCACCAAGGCCACTTGGCTATATGGTCCTTAATCTGAAATGTATCTGATCGTTTTAAATGCGACCTGTGTCTGAACGGCCTGGTAGCATTCATCCGACCTGAACGCCATTAATACCCGACAAAGGTCACTATCCTGCGTCTTGCTATGAAGAAGCGGCAAGAAAAACAAACACCATGGCAGACAAAGATGCGGAGAGCAGTATCTATGTTTAACCATCTTGAAAAGATTGTGTTTTTATGGTTAGGAAAGATCGCTAGATCCACTCCGGTACTACCATCCATGTTTACTTCCGTAAACACGCAGCACACTTCTTTTTGACGTCATTGCGTCCTCTACTGCGCATGTGGTACAATTGCGTTGTATGACTACAGTTCACGCAGGAGATCATATTCAAGTCGCATATATTTGGAAATGTGAACAGCAACGCAAAAAAATATCGGATTTCACAAAAAAATCGGAATTGAGCATCAAGGGCTGCAGTGTGAAAGTAGCCCGAGAGAGAGAGAGACAAATGGTGCAACGAACGTCCTTTTCCAGGACCTGGTTTAGCTACAAGGCTAGGCTAGCTGCATGCAGCGAGGCTAAAGCTTTATTCTGCTTTCCCTGCCTCCTTTTTTAAAGTCAGGATCTGACCCAGCGTGGATAAAGACAGCTAGGTCTGATTTAAAGCTCTTTTTAGAAAAAGCAAAGAAGAATGAACAACCTGGAATTCACATGGAAAATAATGCAATAGTCTACTTTTTCTAGGTGTTTGGTAATTTGAATAGCTGCTCCTAAATAAACACATTCTCAGAAAATAGTTTTTATATATTAAACAATATAAAGTTGAGCAAAAGCTTCTCCACTATTAAACTGGTACATTAGTTTTTTAGGCTTGTGACACCATATTGGACCATGGAAAACACAGATTTACCTTCACTAAGCCTCAGAAGGGCAAGATTTATGTGCAAAAATAAAACCTGTTCATGAAATTATGTTTTGTTTTTATCAAGTGTTTTTATAATGTTTTTTATTGTTGGCAATCATATAAATATTCTAATATAACTTAGCATACGTTTTCAACATTGAAGTCTATTTAGTAATTATTAGGGATGGGACGATTTATGAAAACCGTCCGAACCGTTCGGTTCGACTGTCTCGGTTCGGTTCGCGTGTGTTTCGTTCGGTTCATGTGTGCAAGCATTGTGCAACACGTTTTGTTTATGCTAACAGCAACACGACCAACATGTCATGCTAACCCCGAAATCCCACATACTCCGTCAGCAACCCCCGCTCCGCCCCGCTGCGCTCCAGACCGGCTGCTCAAAGCAAAGCCTACAGCCTCCACTGTGGCTCCCGTCCGCTCCGCTCTGAGTTCCTTAGAGATGGTAGAGAGCATGCGCCAGATGATTAAATTCAAAGCAGCAAAACATGCGGAAATGATCCAGTTTTTATTCCAAAAAAATCTAAAAATTTCCATAAATTTTTATGGGATTTCGGTGTAACAATCAACATACACCGAATCGAACCGAACCAAGAACCGTGACCACAAAACCGTGAATCGAACCGAACCGTGGATTTTGTGAATCGTTCCACCCCTAGTAATTATCTCTTGGAGGTTAAACTGGTTTCAGACAGAAGGGGTTATATACAAATATAAAACTTTGATTTTTATTAGTAAAGCCTTTAGAAAGCATGCACCTTTTTCCAAAAACTTTGTATTTGTTTTGTCACAAAAAACAGCAATAAAATGTGACAAAGCTCTACATAAATACATTTTAACGATGATATGCACTGGAAAAACGATCTGGAAAAAAGGTACAAATGTCTTAAATTAAGTGTATTTACCCTTAATTTGAGTAGGTAAATGAGGTAGTTTGGCAATGGAATGTGTATTTTTACTCTTAAAATAAGATAATTAGATAAAATGCACTTGAAATAAGACAATGCAATTGTTTTTTTCTTATTTTAAGTGTCATTTGTCTTGTTCCATTGGCAAAATGTCTCTTTTACCTCCTCAATCCAAGAAAAAATGCACTTATTTTAACAAAAAATGACTTATCTAGATTTCGATTTTTTTTTCCACAGTGAAGGTTAGATTGAAAGATACTCATGGAATCAAACTTACACAACTTTGAAGTTGTAATGGCTGTCCACCCCTCCAACATCCCACATGATTATTTTGTTGTCATAGGAGCCCGCTGCAAGAAAAAAAAAAAAAACAGGCGTATGGGACATAAAAAAAAGGGATGCGTTAAAGAAGGATACTAAAAGTTAGAAAGCTTTCCAAATGTAGGAAAGCATAAAAACTGTGATCTGAATGCTAAATATCTGATAAACTGGGAGGAAAACCTCAAAATAATCTTCATATTTATAAACTATAAGAGTCATTGTAAATAATATTGAGAGATTAGGCTTAAATTCAATAAAAGAACAGGGGAAGCAATGATTTATGGTGCCGTTTATCTAAGACGAAGACAAGGTTGATGTTTAATCCATGCTGAATGTTGAACACAGGCAGCTTGGATAATCATTTCCATTTCTACATGTTGTTATAACCTTCACATTTAATCTAAAAAAAGAAAATAAAAATAGAGCAAAAGAAAAGAGGGCCTGAACGTTTCTTTTTATCCCTGTTTGGTTAGAGATAACATATCAGAGGAAACTCACTGAAGAGGAAGTTTCCCTGTCGGTGGTTAAAGCGGAGAACGGACAGAGACTTCCGGCTGGCTCTGAACTCGCCGTACGCCACGTTGTTCCTGGGGTGGATCAGTTTGACGAGTCCTCTCTTCCCGCCGGCGGCAAGAATGCTGCAGGCCTGAGATGGAGCGCTGCCTCCTCTGGACATCAACACGGTGGACCAGGCCAGGGAGAAGAACTCCTGTCGGGTGGAGCAACAACCAGCATGTTTAACGCCACACGCTCAGAAGTCTGTATAGAAGCATCTTAGGTATTAATCTAAAATGTATTTTGGGTTTTAAAGATTTGTTTCTATTATTTATTCAATTTCTTTTGAATTCTTAACCCTGGAATATACTTCATATTACTTGCAAGACTTAAACTTTAACGGAAACTATTTAAAGCTAATATTAAACTACCGGTAAGCATTTTCAAAAACTAAAAATTAAACTAGCTATGCTAAAACTAATTAAACCTTGGTCACTTCCTGTCCTGGAAGCACCTCCTGATGAAGACCAAATGCCCTTTAGGAAATACTCAGTATGTAAAGAACTTATTTCTATCCTTAATTATGAAATCCTACTAAACCTCCTAGATTATCCAGGGTTCCTACAGCATAAGGCGAGTTCAATTCAAGACTTTTTAAGACTTTTTAATGCCACTTGAAATAAAAATTTAAGACCAAATTTACAAGAAACACAAGAAAAACCTGCTTGCGACAACTTAACCCAGAGGTTTATTTATTGTTTCAAATTCTGAAAAGCTTCCCATACAGGAAGAAAGCTAAAAACACACAAATTACATATATTTGAACAATTATTTAACTGAATTCACAAACTTTGTTTAAGCAGGGAACAAAACAAATCAGTTTTAAAGCCCCAACATAACCAGTGCTAAGTCTTTTTTGCAGCTATTTTTCTTTGTATGGTTTTCTTATTATGTTCGATTTGGTGATAAGTGGAGGCGTTGCAGAGACAAGGGTGGAACTAAACTGAGAAATACCGGCTGTTTCTCTGTAACTCCATTTTGACGCTTTGTGTTTCGTGCTTCGCATGTGCGACTCCACTGCCTTAATTCCCATCGTTCTGAGCTTGAATGACTTCTTGCACTAAATCCACTGAGCCTCATGTATGTTCCCTGGTTTTAGCCGTGGAGAAAACTCTTGGCTGGAGACAATTTTGGTTACATTTACACTTGCTCATATTTTCCAGACAAAAAGTTAATGGCGCATCTCCCAAATGTCCCGGCTGCAACAACGCTTTATTGGTTCCGCTATCGGGACGGAACCAATAATGGCGAGTCGTTTTTTTTTTTTTTTTTATGAAAAAAAAAGAAAATGTCAATTTTAACGTTTTATTTAGATTACAAAAATAAATCGTAATAAAAATAATCCTATTTATGATGTTTTAAAAATTAAGACCTACGAAAGACTGATTTAAGACATTTTAATACCAATTAAGGCCTTCATTTTATTTTGAAGAATTCAATACCTTTTAAGACTTTTTAAGGACCCGTGGGAACCCTGACCTTGAGCAGACTATTCAGGTTGAAAAACCTTCTCCAGCAGAGATAATAGAAGGATTTGGTCAAACATTACATTTAGGAGGCAGTCCTGTTTTTCCACATTTGTTTTAGATCGTTTTTTTCATTAATAAATTGAATCATCATCTACAAATTTCTCTTTGGCTGGAAATGAAATAAAATTGGCCTGATCATCTGAAAAAAACAAAAAAACATAAGAATTTTAAGTGTGATCACATTTTCACTGTATTGTGGATAAAATGTACCTCTCCTGGAACTTTGTACTTCTTCATCACCATCCCCATTTCACAGTCAATCACACAGACAGAGTCTCCTCCACACGTTGCTACCAAGCGGTTCCCTCCTGCTAAAATAGAAAAAAAAAAAACTTAAGTTCAATCCGCCCCTAAAGAGATTAAAACGATGCACATAATTCTTTTTTTCTCAATATTTTAATCTTTCAGGCTGTTTTCTCCTGATCTGGTACCATTAGATTCTGAGAGCGGCTGGAAGGCGCAGGCCCAAAGCTGAGTGGAGAAGTCCTCTGAGCTGTCCTGTTTACTGTGGCACTGCAGAACGTGCAGCGGCTTCAGAGATACTGGCTGCAGGTGGATGGAAAGAGCATGACAGAAAAAAACAATATTAGAGAGAGACATGACAGACAAGAATAAAAAAATGCTGTAAACGGTACAAAACATAAAGCTGCAAGTTACAAATTACATCCAAACGGTATCTTCTCAATAAAATTAACACCAAGAGAAAAAAGTTAGGTTAACTATCTTTGTATATAGAGCTTTTTTATTCAACAGTAATGAAATAAGCAGCAAAGAGGCCAAATAATGACCTAGTCAAGGATATAAAATCTGATATTCACTGACACCGTTTATCCAAACAGTCCATTCCACCTCCAGCTAAAGACTGAAGTTTGTTGGTGTAACAGGATGGAAAGAGAAGGAGTGTCAATACTTTAAAGCCACTCTAAACGTTCCTATTCTTTCATTCTTTTTTAAGCTTTAACTTTACCCAGAAAAACCAACAGAACCTCATGCAGGTGTCATCGATGTAAGAGTCAAACATAACCTGTCAGACCAGAATACCAATAGTCAATACGCACGAGCAAGACATCAGATTCCCGTTTATTCCTTATTTTTTGTATAAAAAATATACTATAAACTACCTCGAAGGGCATTTACCACTTTAGTCATGTGCAAAAAAACAAAACAATGTAAGGTCAGATCGCTATACGCTTCAAAAACATGAAAAAAGAAAGTAATAGAAATGTTTTTATTTTTTGTGCATGACTAAAGGGATACGCGCCCGTTGAGGTAGTTTAAAGTGTATTTGATCTGATCTGACAGAACACTGGACATACACCGCACGATTTTTTGCCCTTTTCGGGCCGATTTTCCAGCCGTGGGTGAATTTTTCAATCTTTCAGCCAGATTGTGGCTCATGTAGTGTACAGGGGGTAACGAGGGGCGTCTCTCACGACCACCTCTGATCAGGAATCGAGAGGTCGGGATGAAAATCAAACATGTTAGAAATTCAGTCGGCCGTCGTAAGGTGGTTGTGGGCAAATCGCTCAGTGCGCAAAGAAGCATTCTTCTTCTTCCTCTTAGACGAAAACCCAGAATCATGGCGGGGGTGCGAGTGAAATGGCGTTCTTTCTGTAAAATTGGTTCGGTTCACGGTTTTGTGGTCACGGTTTTCGGTTTGGTTCGGTATATGTTGATTTTTAGACCAAAATCCCATAAAAATTAATGAAAAAATCAAAAAAAATTAATGGATTGTAATTATTTTTAATGATCCGCGGAAACCTTGGATCATTTCCGCATGTTTTGCTGCTTTGAATTTAATCATCTGGCGCATGCTCTCTACGATCTCCAAGGAACTCAGAGCGGAGCGGACGGGAGCCACAGTGGAGGCTGTAGGCTTTGATTTGTGCAGCCGGTCTGGAGCGCTGACGGAGTATGTGGGATTTCGGGGTTAGCATGACATGTTGGTCGTGTTGCTGTTAGCATGCTTGCACACTGTTGCACTTTTATCCACAACTTTCTTTCCGCCGTCATCGTAGGTCACTCTAAATGCAAAGTGGTCCCATACAGCAGACCTATAAAGTGCTGCTGGCGCGTCTTCCAACTCCTGTTCTTTCCCACTTGCCATACCCACACAATTCTCCACAACAACTGATTTTTTTCTGCTACATCCGGCTACGCTGCTTCGCTTCTTCTTCTTGTTTACTACTGGTGGTTGGCTTTGGTCGCAGTACTGCCACCTTCTGCTCTGGAGTGTAAACGCTTCACCTATGAGAAAAAGGAGCAGCGCATGAACCGAACGCAACACACGCGAACCGAACCGAGACAGTCGAACCGAACGGTTCAGACGGTTTTTATAAACCGTTCCATCCCTAGTCCATAGTAGCCACGTTTGCTCAGCCATGTCTTTGCCCAAATACGTTGTCACCTTTTCTTTTTAGGGATTTCAGCACTAAATTGCACAAATCACCAAGGCAGCGAGTTTCACTCTAGTTTGCTTCATATTCCTCTTCTACTTGTTTGGCTTCTGGATAGATGAGTCTGAGCAGCGCCATCTCACTCCGGAGCTGAGTCCGACGCCATTTTTAGACGTACAATGTTAGCAGGTGGATCGCATCAGAGCGTCGGGTCGCACGGTGTGAGAACAAACATCGTGAGCTGTGAACTTTTAAACCCTGCGGTTTCGTCGGGAAGCGAAATGAAGCAGCACACGCGTGTTCGCTGCTTCTGCTGCTTGCGGTCTGAACAAAGCATTAGTGTTTAAACATTTAATTGCGGTGAAACAGGTTTTACAACTGAATATCAACTGCTTATCATTAAATAGAGATAAAAACCCATCCTCATACAGAAATAAAGGCTCTTCTTCACAGAACAGGAAGTAACTGTCCTCATCAATTCTTAGACTCTATGAATGCTGTTAATATATTAATGGAAAAAGTGGAGCATCCCAGTTTTTATATTACCTGTGTTTTGATAGAAGCTTTTATGATGGGCAGCACATGTGCATTTCTGTGCAGCTGTGCAGCCTTCGCATCCTTTCTGCTGCGGTTTTCTTTCTGTTCCTCTTCTAGTCGACCTTTGGCACTCTTTTTGGGCGTCTCTGTCCTCGTCTGTCCCTTGGAGGGGGTAGAGGGAGCGTTGTTTGGCTTCCGGGGGCTCATCCTGATCTGGGGTTCCTTCTGCGGTGTAAGGCGCAGGCTGGATTTGCGAGGACTGCTTTTGGCTGGTGAATCGTGAAGGTCGCCGCGCAGCTTTTTGCGTGGCGTCAGACTCATGGTGGCATCCGATGCTGGGTCAGTTTGTTTCCTCTTGGAAGGTGTAGATAAAGTCTAAGGTAAAGCATCACAATGTTTAAGGCTAAATATTAAGCCAGCCATATCGGATAAAGTAAATGTGTTAATGTAACTGAAGAAACCTCACAGCGTCCTCTTTATCCTCCGTCTGGTTTTTGTCATCAGAATCCTCCTTTGGTTCCATCAGAGAGCGCAGATACTCCTTCGCAAGAATTTCCACCTAACAATCACAGCGTTACTATAAGCAATTAAAATTAAAAAGACTAAAATAAAATAGAATGTGAGTAGATTCCAGATCTTACCCTCCACCTGGTGAAATCAGAGACAGAACTGGGGCCAAATTTAACTTGCTGACGAGCGGCGCTCACAAAGCTCTTCTCCAACGAGGACATTTTCTCAGCAGAGATGGGATCCGGGAGGCTGAAGCTCCTCTCCCAAACTGCAATCATCTAAAAAAAGAAAAACCACACTGGAAAAAACAGAAATTCTAGAAAAGTCTTTTTTTTTTCTTAAAATAAGTGCATTTGCTCTTGGATTGAGGAGGTAAAAGAGACATTTTGCCAATGGAACAAGACAATTTACATTTAAAATAGGAAAACACAATTGCCTTCTCTTATTTCAAGTGCATATTATCTAATTCTCTTATTTTAAGAGTAAAAATACTGATTCCATTGGCAAACTGTCTCAATAACCTACTCAAATTAAGGGTAAATATACTTAATTTAAGACATTTTACTTATTTCTAGATCGTTTTTCTAGTGCAAGACCAGCTTAACGACAAGAGCTACCACACTGGAAAAAATCTAAATCTAAATAAGTCATTTCTTTCTTAAAATAAGTAAATTTGTTCATGAATTGAGGAGGTAAAAGAGACATTTTGCCAATGGAACAAGACAATTTACATTTAAAATAAGAAAACATAATTGCATTGTCTCATTCCGAGTGCATATTATCTAGAGTAGAAATACTCAAACTATCTCATTTACCTACTCAAATTAAGGGCAAATACATCCATCAACACCTACTTTGCTCTCATAAATTTTTTTATGACAACGAAGAACAACTTCAATGTTAGTGTGGACATTGCAGCAAGGCTGTTCAGAAAAGGAATGTAAGATGATTGCAAAGCAAAATGCCAGTGTAACACCAATTTAAAAAAATGCTAATGAAAAACAATCCACTGGTCTTTATTTCCAAGTTTGAAGACGTTTCTCTTCCCATCCAGGAAGCTTTTTCAATTCAAAATGTCAGAAATAGAGTTGAGTTCGATGTTTTATACAGAAGCCCAACAAAGCCTTGTTTTTGTTTTGAAAACATTCAAATGCCAAACAAGGCTTGGAAAACATGGCTTGCAAATGCAGAACATGCAAAGAATGCAGGCTTTGTTGGGCTACTGTATAAAACCTCAAACTCAACGCTATTTCTTCACCAGCATATCTGTAACACCAATCAGCCACTAAACGAATACAATAATTGCACCTTGTTGTTTGACCAATGTTTAGATTCCACTGTTGACAGTCTTATTAAAGCTTAGAACCTGGTGCAAGCTTGTAAAAATTCTGAGTTTGATTCTAGCAGCAATGTACGTCTCAAAACCAGAGAACGAGAAGCCATCATGCCCTAGCCAACCAGCAGTCCTGATTTTACTCATTTGGATCCCAAGCTGAGCAGATTATTAAAAAGGAGCAAAGTACCAATACTGGATGGAAAACGTTGAGTTAAGTAGGTATTATCTAGCAAATGGTTAGAAACTCGGAAAGAAAAAGACAGAAAACCAGATCGAGAACTGCATGTAAGGAGAAAAGTGGTGACCCTTCACAGGGGGGATTGCCTCCTGGAATTACTTCAACAACAGAAACTGCAGTTCCAGAATCCAAGGAAATCTACTTTGAAATGGCGCAAAAAAATTCAAATAAAGGTTTTGGAAGGAGCTCTTTAAAGTAATTACTTTTTAACAAAGTCCTGTATTTAGTCCAGTGAGTTTTCTTCACTAATAAAGCTTATAGTTAGAGTGGCTCAGGTTATCCTGTGCTATCTCTATAGTTATGCTGCTATAGGCTTAGACTGCTGGAGGACATAGGGACCCTTTTTCATCCTTCTGCTTCCTTACATCTGTATTCTCCCATTCTGCAGTATTTGTTAGTTCAGCCTCTAACTATTCTTTCTCTGCTTTTTCCATCATAGTAGTTTCATCTGATACGTTACTGTTTGGCTTTGACTCCATCCTGGAGTGAAATATCAGCTGCGATTAATGTCTCTGTTGACAGATAATAGAACTGGGCCTGTTTTTCTTTTTTGTCCTGCTTCTCTCCAAGTCATAACTATGGGCTCAGATTAGGCTGGCTAACTCTAGATCTCTTAGACCCCCTTGACATTAAAACTTGCGCAAAGGTTAACAGTTATCACTTAAATTTTCTAACATAGAAAGTATGTATAGATCAGTGCTTCCACGTTCCTTTTGAATGTCTGCTTCAGTCTCCTTGAACCCTAGTTGCCCTCGGCAGATGGTCGCTCACACCGAACCTGATTCAGCTGGAGGTTTCTTCCTGTTAGAAGGGAGTTTTTCTCTCCACTATTGCAACAAGCATGCTCAGTGTAAGCGATTGCTGTGGAAGCCATGCAATCACCTGGATTTCATTAGATGAAAAACTTTAAACCAATCTGACTGTACGATCTGGTTGAATTATCTCAGTAAAGTGTCTTGAGATGACAGGCTGTGATTTGGCAATATAGAAATAAACACAATTGATCAAATAAAATCATGATTTAAAAATATGCAACTAAGGCAATAAACTAAACAAAAAAAATCTTAATTCTAATTTATATAAATGACTATACCTAAACTGTGTTTGCATAGGTGTATAAATGCATGAAGCATTTTTAAAGATTTCAATTTACGTTGTAAAATACGCACATGGATATTATATGAACTGATAACCAGAGGGATTGCTGCAAAGGAAGTCACATGATACTCTCGCCTGGATTCAAGTGAGAATAGCACTAATTCAATTACAGAATTAAAATGTACAGAAATAAGGAAACAGCTGAAATAAGTGTGTTATGGTGGAATATCAACGCAAACAAGGACTTAAGATTTTCAGTCACTGAAAAGCAGATAGCAGATATTCAACAGGTGGAGATTCTATTTCTGTCAACCATGATTATCATTTTCTCCAGTTTATTACAGTCTAACCCGGCGGTTTTCAAAGTGTGAGGCGCGGTGCGAGGGAAAAAATAAATATGGATTTAGGACAAAGTTGGAACTGTGGGGTGCGCGTGTGCAGCGCGGATCAGTGGAAATGTTTCCCACCTTAGAGGTGGGAGTTTTTACAGCAGGCTGTCTGCGTGCATTTGGAGGGGATGCGCGAGCAGTTTGGAGAGTATTTTGGAGAGGAGACAATGGCAAACCAGTGGGTGAGAAACCCATTTTCCTTCCCCGTGACACTCAAAGATGGACTTTCAGCAGGAGAGGAAGAGGCTCTGGCTGAGCTGTGCTGTGACATGGACTTGAAACAGAGGATGCGTGACGTGTCACTTGCGCACTTTTGGCTGTCAGTAGGGACTGAATTTCCACAGCTCTCAATGAAGATCTGATCAAAATGTTTTTGTTAAGATGTGAAAACACTGTTAGTATCTCAAACATTGAACTCAGAATCTCAGATGTAATGTTTGTTTGAGAAAACGGTTGAAAAGTGAGTTTGGGGTTGTTGTTATCATTCGGAAAATGAAAAAAGGGCGTATTTGCCATACAAAGGCCCCGAGAAAATAATTAAAATGGGAGGAAATGTTTTCGAATGTTCATGTGTTAAATTTCATTCAGATAAAGTTTAAGTTTAAAAGATGAGATGGTTCTAAAATAAAAGCAATTACAAGGTGTTTTGTAATGGCATTTGTATATTTGTAATGGCATAGTGCTCCCTGGAGGGGGGCTCACCCTTTCATACTTTGACCTAACTCCATTAACAAAGCGTCGGTTTCATACCCTGCTCCTCAGGTTGTCGCTGTAGACATATCTCACATGGTTGGCCGTGGTCGTCACGTCTTTGCTGTTGTAAATCCTCAGATTGGGCAGCAACACAAACAACTTGTAATTATCACTCACCTAAAAAAACAAAAAAAAATCATTTATATTCAAGCTGCCACAACAAAAGCACCCATTTTATTTCTTTCCATTTAAATGGGAAACATTTCATTGATATCTTATTGCAGCAGCGTAATCTCACAATGAAAATCTAAGCAGTTATTTAAGATGAGTTGGGGAAAGCATCTATGAATTAAGGATTGGATCTCTTAGGCAAGCCTGAAAATAGATCTCCTTAACCCTTTAAAGCCCGATCCAAGAATAAAACAAAACAGAAAATTACTTTTTTTTTGGTTTGAAGTCCTTATTTGCCTTTTTAACAAAATATGTAAAAAGAAAAAACAGAAATACATTTTTTATATTAATAATTTATTACTATGCGATAAGTCAAGATAATTTTTTGTGTAGTCTTCTACTGGCTGTTATCAGGTATATCTGATTGTGTACAATAGGATTTTGAGCAAAGTTTTTACCATTAAATTATGCAAAAGGTGTCAGGCGCAAAACATTTCAGCAACCGTATGTATCACATATGATACATTTGGCATTAAAGGGTTAAAGTAAGAGAATTCATTCAAATTCCTTCTACGTTATTCTGCAGAATCATAGATGCATCTCTACCCTAAACTGTTGATTTTTATTTAAATTAGGGATTGAAAAATATAAAAAAAAAAAAGGAACCAATTCTCTTTCAGGCTAATTAGAGAGAGTATTGACTATTTCATGCTGCACATTTTTTTATATGCTCAATCATTTCTAACCTTCCAATCTCTGATGTATCACATTACTTAAAAACTAAGATTTTTTTCCTGAACAAAATAAAAAAATGTTACATTTATTTTTAAATGTTTACATGGTGACGCTCATTGACCCCATGTTTCTTCTAGGAATACAGCTTCAATCGCTCGTTAAGCATCTGGTTGTTTATTTTAAGGTGAAAATGGCAGCTTGTGTTGATTTTGGGATTATGGAGACCTGATCGCCTCAGAGCAAATATTGCAAAGGATCAGCTCTGTTATCTGTTTTATTCCAGACTCATCGCAGCGTAGGAAGGCCTTCTCTGTCCACCAGTAGAAATAGACACTCCTACATTTTTAACTACAAGGCAACATTCAGTCTCCTGCATTCCCACGTCTGTAATTTGATCACACAGAGACGTTTTGACTAATTTCCTTCAACTGATCAGTTTGTGACAGCCTGCTTTCACATTCTGAAAGCAATATGCAACTCATTTTGAAAAAATTAATAGCGTGACTTTAAGTTAGCTATTAGCAGTGCACACAGTTAGATTTTTTTTGTTTTTGAGTTGCCAGTTTCCTTTATATCTGCTGTTTTAGGGCAGCAATCAGCTCCAGCTTTCTTCAAAATTGATCACTGCAGGCTAATCAGCCGGTGGAAAGAAAAATTTGTTTATTGATCGTTTAGATATTCTTTGTTTTGGATACTTTTGTAAATTTGTTCAATTTAAAAAGTATTTAGTGTCTGGCCATTATCTGTTTAATTAAGTTGATTTGTTTCTTAGTTTTTTAGTCAGTTATCCCCCTTATGTGTCAACAGTGGTCTGATCAATAGTGATGGGAATAGAAAACCGGTTCCTGTTCAGATCCGATTCCATGGCACTGGTTGGCTAGCCTCGTGAGACCATCGTGATCTCGCGAGCTTTCAAGGTTTCACTCGCTAATCAGTCTGGAGACTCTCCGTTAAAGAAAATTTGGAGCCGTTCACCAAACGAACGTCCAATCAGCGTTGGCTTTGAGGCGGGTTGAGGTGTGACGCAACGAGAAGCGCGACAGTTCAGTCTAAAGAACATGGCGGCTTCAGCCGATGAAACTTGCGTTAGTGTGGCTATCAAGCAAGTTTTATCGGAATTACAGAGTATTTCTTCACTGAAAGAAGAGCAAAACACTGCTCTGGAGGCTTTTCTCAGAGGAAAAGATGTTTTTGCTCTTCTCCCGACTGGTTTCGGCAAGAGTTTGATCTATCAATTGGCTCCTCTTCGTCGTCGCTCTGTTAGCACGTCTTCGTTGATCTGATCTGATTGGTTTATTTGGCCCGTCTATCACCAACATAGGCCAATCAGCTAACCAGTATTTTCGCCCCTTCCCAACATTACTTCAACGGAAGGTTTCCAGATGGATATGCAGAGCAAATCCAGCTGCCGGAGTCAGGTTACCGGTTGGCAGCTTGCTTAACAGTTCTAGGCGGCACCAGAGCCACTCTGAGCAGCACCACTTACCTTACGTTTTTTTTACGCAAACAGTATTTAATAAGCAAGTAGGACGTGACCAGGCGTAAGTCTAGAAGAACAAAAAAAATGGCGCCCCATCGGGTAAAGCGATCAAAAGTTTGGCTTCATTTTAAGGAAGAGAAAGATGGCAACAAGGCGCTTTGCAATTACAGCCGCTGGAGGAAACGCATCCAACATGCAGAAACACCTGCGCACACAACATGGCATACATTTAACAAATGCCGTGTTTTTGATGAAGAAGCTAAAATTACGACCATCATGGAAGGCAACTCTGGTGGTTAGTAGCTAGTTTTATATCACTGGCTGAGCTTTCTAGTAAATCATATGCATTTCTGGAAATAAACCAGGTCCCCTACAGACCACCAGGGCAGCCGAGAAAACCTTTGTTCAACCTGAAATGACTCATTTAATCATCCAAAACGTTATGGAACACATTAATTAACTGAAAAATGTTGCATAGTGTGCCTTTAATTTCCGCTAAGAGTTCCTTAGGGTATGCAAAATAGGCAAGAATTTCCCAAAATGAAGTGGATGTTAACTAAACTAAAACAAGGCTTTGTTGGTCTACTGTATAAAACCTCAAACTCAATGCTGTTTCTGACATTTTGAATTGAAAAAGCTTCCTGGATGGGAAGCTTGGAAACAAAGTCAGAGGATTGTTTTTTTTTTTGGATTTCCTCCAACTGCACCCCAAAGCAGTAACTAATGCAAATTTGAATATTTTATCACTTTTTACTGTGAGTTACATTAAAGAACCAAACAGGATCCATTAAGTTGACAGTCCTCTGCACTAAAAGCCTGGTCCTCACAGTGATATAAAGGTTGTCCTCCATCTTGAGCTCCTCCAGACCCCTCAGGGAGCCCAGGGTGGTGACGTCTTCCATCTGATTGTCGCTCAGGTCCAGGCACCGCAGCGCAGGCAGCTCCAAACACTTTGGGAACTCCTGCAGCCTGTTTCCAGACAGATCGCAGCGCTCCAGGGACTTCAGACGGGAAAGCAGTTTCACAGGGAGGTCCTCAAGCTTCAGCCCCATCTTAGATAGACTGAGAAGAAAATTTAGACTCAACAATCTATATCTATTTTAATGGATACTTTCCTCAAACATTTACTGAAACTGTGATAATAAATTGTTGTTTTTTTCTCTATTCCACCTCTTGGTCCTTTTGCATTTTAGCAGTTTTTATCCAGTCTTTTATTGAGAGAAAGGAGAGGCCTCAGTCAACTTGGATAAATTTTTTTTTTAACGGTCATCTACTATATGCGTGTGTGTGTGTGTGTGTGTGTGTGGCCATGTCTTTAATACCTGGTGGGGACAATTTCCTAGGAATATGCTACATTTTGGGGACTCATAGGTACTTGTGGGAACCAACAACTGGTCCCCATAAGGAAAGTTTCTCTTCTTGGGGTGGGGGTTAGGTTTAGGACGACGGTGTGAATTGAGTTTAGGTTAGGTTTAGGGATAGGTATGTGTCGGTAATGGTTAGGGTTAGGGCAAGGGTCATGGTTAGGCCATATAAATTAGTGGGAAATGAATGGAAGTCAATGGAAGGTCCCCACAAGGATATTGTGACACAAGATGTGTGTGTGTGTGTGTGTGGGTGTGTGAGCCCTGAAAGTTGAAGTCAGGAATCTAAAAGGCCTCCTTAAAGAGGTACACACACATAAACAACCTTCTCCGTTTCCTGTTTTGACATATCAATCTGTTTTCTCAAATAATACAAATATATTTAAATGAGCTATTTTGAATGATGTTTAAAAATATAAATTAGTGGGAAATAAAAGCCCACCTGAATCATTGAAGGTTTGAGTGAGAGTAAAATCTAAAAGTCCATCTGAGGCCTATTAATTTTAAATCTGTTTAGGCATATTGATGCCAATAATCAATATTGTAATATTAGGAGAATGAAGTCATCATAACACAGAAAGAAAGCTTGTAGCTCCGCCCAGCAGATGACGGCCGACCAGCTCCACCAATCAGCAACCAGAGTCCACTTTGACCTCCTGCCCAGTTTGATGCTGCTGCTAAAAGATTTCCTGATTAGTCAAACCGATGCTAAAGCATAACTTCACATGATGCTCCACATTCCTCATTTTAGGGAAGAAAGGGCTTGTTGTTAGAATTCTCCTAAAATACAACTTTATTCTCGTAATTTTCTGAATTCATTCTCATAATGTTACAACTTTATTCTCGTAATTTTATGACTATTCACTTTGTGACTTTATTCTCGCAATTTTTTTGACTTTATTCTCGGAAATTTCTGACTTTACTCCCGTAATTTTTTAACTATTCTCTTTCCGAATTTATTGCTCGTAATTTTTTAACTATTATCTTTGTGACTTTGTTCTCTTAATTTTCTGACTTTATTCTCGTAATTTCCTGATTTTATTCTCGCAATGTTACGACTTTATTCTCGTTATTTTCTTACTTTATTCTCTTAATTTTTTAACTATTATCTTTGTGACTTTGTTCTCTTAATCTTCTGACTTTATTCTCATAATGTTACGACTTTATTCTTATGATTTTATGACTATTCACATTGTGACTTTATTCTCGTAAGGTTACGACATAATTCTCGCAATGTTACGACTTTATTCTCGTAATTTTCTGACTTTATTCTCATAACTTTCTGACTTTATTCTCATAATTTTCTGACTTTATTCTCATAACTTTCTGACTTTATTCTCATAATTTTCTGACTATTCTCTTTGTGACTTTATTCTCCTAACTTTACGACATTTTATTCTCCTAACTTTACGACATTTTATTCTTCTAACTTTACGACATTTTATTCTCCTAACTTTACTACATTTTATTCTTTTAACTTTATGACATTTTATTCTCCTAATTTTCTGACTTTATTCTCGTAATTTTCTGACTATTCTCTTTGTGACTTTATTCTCCTAACTTTACAACATTTTATTGTCCTAACTTTACGACATTTTATTCTCCTAACTTTACGACATTTTATTCTCCTAATTTTGTGACTTTATTCTCCTAATTTTCTGACTTTATTCTCGTAATGTTACGACTTTATTCTTATGATTTTATGACTATTCACATTGTGACTTTATTCTCGTAATGTTATGACATAATTCTCGCAATGTTACGACTTTATTCTCGTAATTTTCTGACTTTATTCTCATAACTTTCTAAATTTATTCTCATAACTTTCTGACTTTATTCTTATAATTTTCTGACTATTTTCTTTGTGACTTTATTCTCCTAACTTTACGATATTTTATTCTCCTAACTTTACGACATTTTATTCTCCTAATTTTGTGACTTTATTCTCCTAATTTTCTGACTTTATTCTCGTAATGTTGCAACTTTATTCTTGTAATTTTCTGACTTTATTCTCGTAATTTTCTGACTATTCTCTGTGACTTTATTCTCCTAACTTTATGACATTTTATTCTCCTAATTTTATGACTTTATTCTCGTAATGTTACGACACGAAATATGAAGAAAAAATCTGTAGCCTGGCCCTAACACTCTGCCGTAATCTGGGAACATTTGAAAAATGATATTAGCTGTTTTCCAGCTGCTGGATGAAGGCTGCTCTCCCTGATCTCCTGTGAAAACTTATTGGGGAAGACAACATGTTATTGAACAGACCTGTAGACAACGGAGTCCTGCACAGCACCAACTGCAGGGTTACTGATCATCATGCCACTATAACAGCACAGAGAATTCACCAATACTGATATGACCCGATACGATATCAGAAGGAATTATACATGCTTTTATTACCTATTTTGTATTGTAGAATTTTAGAAAATGTTTGATCAAGTGTAAGTTACTGAAAGAGAGAAAAAACGTCAACAATAAGGTATGAGAATCCATGTAATATTGACCATTAGGTTACAGAAACTTAAGCAGAAGCAGAGTTTCTATCAGTCTGACAGTATTGAAACTTTTAGATGCAGGCATATATACTCCTATAATAGTTTCTTGGCCAATCAGACCGATATTCGATATTATTATAAGTCCGATATAAATAATCGGACTGGGCTATTAAATACATTTGAATTAAATGATTCAGTACAGAATTCACTTCATTGTGTTTTCTGTGGCAACAAAAGATTTTTTAATTTCCAACCCAGGTGACGAGGCACCATTTCTCTCACCTCTGTGAGGAGAACGGCTCAGCGGCAGAACATAAAGGACAAACATTAAAGAGAATGGCTTCTTCTTGCAGAGGTGTGAAAGCAATCAGCCCCCCAGCGGTCGGCCACTTACTTTCCTCCCTCCCCCAGAAGAAAACCAACACATACATTGTCTGTTCCCTGAAAGTAACTACCACTGTATTTCACTGCTTTTACAAAATGGAAAATAAAAAATGTCAAGAAAAAAAAGTAGGCAAAGACTTTCTAGAAGAACCGGACAGATGAAAATAAAGATTAATTAAGAACTATCACCCCCGTAAAAAAATAACACTATTCAAGACTTACTTTAGAGTTTTGATTTGTTCCAGCTTGTTGGTTTTCGGGGAGCCTTTCCCCAATAAAAGCTTCTCTGTTATTTTCTCCATGGCTCTCCTGCAGGATAAGTAGATTTTAGAAACCAAAAATCGGCTGCTTTGAAATTAATAAGCATCAAATTTACAAATAATTCCTGCATGAACATTCATATTCCTTCATTTCTTTCTCCTACCCTATCTTTCTCTTCATTGGCTTCCTGTTAAATCCAGAATAGAATTTAAAATCCTCCTTCTCACATATAAAGCCTTAAATGGCCAAGCTCCATCTGATATCAGAGATCTGATTGTTCCTTATGTTCCTAACAGAGCACTTCGCTCTCAATCTGCAGGTTTACTAGTGGTTCCTAGAATTTCTAAAAGTAGAATGGGAGGCAGATCTTTTAGTTCTCGGGCTCCTCTCCTGTGGAACCAACTACCAGTTTTAGTCCGTGAGGCAGACACCCTGTCTACTTTTAAGGCTAGGCTTAAAACTTTCCTTTTTGATAAAGCTTCTAGTTAGAGTGGCTCAGGTTATTCTGAGCTATCTCTATAGTTCTGCTGCTATAGGCTTAGACTGCTGGAGGACATAGGGACCCCTTTTTCATCATTCTGCTTCATTCTATCTCTATTCTCCCACTCTGCAGAATCTGTTAGTTCAATCTCTAACGTTCTGCTCTCTCTGCTTTTTCTCATAGTAGCTTCATCTGGTCTGTTCCTGTTTGGCTGTGACTCCATCCTGGAGAGAAATATCAGCTGTGCTGATGCCATCGACACCTTTGTTCCTAGATGTTGGAGATCTGCCTTATTTTTCCTGTGTGGTCCTGTTTCTCTGACTGTGACTAGGTAACTGGATGTGCTCTCTTCATCCTCTGACATCGGAGCTGGCTCAGAGCTCCTCTGCCTGGCTGTGTGTTTCCTGGACGGGGCCGCCTGTGGAGCTAGTTTACAGCTGCTTTTTTTATTTCTGTTTCTGTCTCCTTGAACCCCAGTCGGCCTCAGCAGATGGCCACTCACACTGAACCTGGTTCTGCTGGAGGTTTCTTCCTGTTAAAAGGGTGTTTTTCCTCTCCACTGTCGCTACAAGCATGCTTAGTGTGAGGGATTGCCTTAAAGTCCATGCAATCCACTGGTTTTCCTTCGATAGAAAACTTTGAATCAATTTGACTGGATTATCTGGTGAACTCAAGTGTCTTGAGATGACATGATGTGAATTGGCGCAATAGAAATAAACTGAATTTAATTGCCTAAAGAGGAGGGGATACAAGATTTCTAAATTTATTCATTAAAAAAAAACTGGGAAACGATTTGATTAGCAATAAATCCCCTTCAAGAGGTCATACACTCTGTTCAAAATGTATAAATATGGATTAATTAAATCTTTCAAACTGAATGAGGCTAACTGTAAAAGATGAAAATATATTAATTCAAAATATCCGATTTAGTGATTACTTCAATTATAGTTTTAGAAAGAAAAAGCATTAATTCTGCAACACAAAATAGCTGACAAACATCTGACAATAATAAGTCGCTTTTTAAAGTTTAATGGGAAAATGTGTGCTGCTGCTACACAGCAACAAAAAAGAGACCATAGATCTAAAACCATCAGACTAATGGTACCATAACACCTCCATCCACTTTGATCTATGCTTTAATTGGAATAGAGGGATAACACCAATAAAGGAATGATTAAAAACCTAAAATTTAACCTGTAAGTCTTGAGTTAAAGCATATATTTTACTTCGTTGGAAGCAAAGTTTGCTGAAACTCATACTAACTTCACATACATATGGCGAGTAAATAAACCTACAGTTGTGCTTCATGCTGTTACCGTTTAGTAACATCTGAGTTCCTTATTTTTCAATTATTTCAAATATTTATGAAAATATTTACTTACAAACTCTGGACACGGCTTCGACGAACAACCCACTACGGAAGTGGAATTTTCCCGGGGCAGAGCGTCTACATCCGGTGGGCGTGGCCACGAAGGACATTCTAATCCCTCAGTTTTGACTGTAAGGAGCAGCAGAAACAATTGTGCCGTTGGTAAATAAAGGTTAGCTTATTTTGTTTCAAAACTATTTGTGCATTGCAAGTGTGAATTTGAAACAGTAGAGTCTAAGTTTTGTATTTGTAGAAAGAAAATAAAATTCACAAGTACAATTTTTTTACACCCGTTAAAATTTTAAAGTACAAGTACTATAAAGTACTATAAAGTAGTATTATTTTTACAAGTTGCGCATCAAATACCTCTTATATTCTCAGTTTTTTCTCCAAATGGTTCAGACCTATTGTTGCAAAACTATTAGTGCACTGTAACTTTGGTGTTTTGTAAAAAAATAAAAATTAATGTTAGATATTGTTTTATATTAATGTTTTTATGTATTTATTATTTTTTTCAAGGCTGCACTTTAAAAATTTTAAACTTTTAAAAAAAGCTGTTCTACAGCTTACATTTTTATAAAATGACAAAATGTCATTTTTACAAAATGACAAATAAATCTAAGTCTATGTCTAAGTAATTGTATTTTTTTTCATCTGTGACAATTACAAAATAAAGTTACACCTTTCACGTTCAAGTACAAGTACGCAAATTGTGTTCTGTGAGTTGCACATCAAAAACGTCTTCCGTTCAGTTTTTCTATGGTTGATCTAAAACAAATAGTGCAAAACAAATTCAAAAACTTGTATTCAAATCTTTAAAAGAATTTTTTTTTCCTTCACACAAATACAAATCAATGAATACAACTGCATGTATCTGCTGATGTGAGTCACAAATTCAACTTAACTTTTTTTAACGCCTTCATTTTAACTTTTGACTTAGACTGTAGCTCTCTGTATAACTTCAAATTCACACTTACAATGCCCAAATAGTTTTAAAACTAAATAACCTTCATATTAGTAGCATGGTTGCCTTGCAAAAGGACTTCAAACATGATAGGTGTGTGTATAACTGAGTTTTAAGTATTCAAAAGTGTCTCACAAAATAAATGTGGACACACTGCTGTAAAAGAAAAAAAGTAATTTCATTTAATTAATTTTGACTAGACCAGGCAGATCCGCGGCTGCTTGTGATAAAAAAAATAAATAAAAAAATAAAAATAAAGAGCTCATATGCTATCTATATTACCCCTCTTGATTCCCTGGAAATCTTATTCTTGACCTTTTCCAAAACTATGCATATCATTGTGTGAAGTTTTTGGATTAATAATATTTTATAGGATTCTTTTAGAGCATTGTTTTGTTTAAGACAATATAGAAGATTTCAAGGTACCCCAATTTAATCATAACTTTTTTAACTTTATTAATTGTTAATTATTTTCAATGCGTTCCTCATTTTATTCGTCTATTTTCTGTTAACTCTTGCATGAAACCAATTTAGAAGAAAACATAGAACTTGGAATTTAGAGGGGTATTAATTTTAGTTATTATCATTTCTGTTTATTTTAATTCATATTGCTGATTTTGCACAGTTTCTACCTTAGTCAGTTAAATAACATGGTGCTGTCATTTTGCACATCTCTGTTGCTCCTATTTTCTAATATCCATTACTGTAAAAATGCCAATAGCTGCATATTGGTTATTCATTCTCCAGCTGCACAGTTTTTTATATTGTTAAAACACTTTTTTTCCTATTCTATCCTATTCTATTCTACAATATTCTATTCTATTCTATTCTATTCTATTCTATTCTATTCTATTCTATTCTATTCTATTCTATTCTATTCTATTCTATTCTATTCTATTCTATTCTAAAATATTAGAAGCTTAATAAACAATACTGCTTTCTTCCATTAGGGGGCGCGCGGTCATTATTTGTGTGAATGTTCAGTTTCTAATCAAAGAAGAAGAAGCAGCAGCGGTTTAAAGATGGCTCTTGACAGCAGCGATGTTTCTCCATGCGGCTGTAAAGGCATACGGCGGTGTCTTATTTGCGAAAAGTCTAAGGGAGAAACTCAGCCTGATACATTCAAACCTGAGGTACCTAAACATCTCCTATATAAGCGTATTATTATAGACGTATCTTTGAAAAGTAACTACGGAAGCCTTCTTAGGACATTGCTTCATTGACCAAAAATAGTATTACCGAGCTACAAAGTGTGTAGTTTCTGTTTTAGAGCGTTACTAATTTTCCTTTATAGTGGATCTATGGGTATTTTTTATCTAATAGTTTTACTGATGCATTTTAATTCACCAAGAGATGATTTAAGGCTTTATTTGAGGTTCAAAACAACAAAAGTTGATCATTGTTAACTGTAAACATAAATAGATTTATTACAGACTGATAGTCCAGACCACACAGAAAAACATCAGAAGAATAAAAGTGAAAGAATGAAAGAGAACGTTTATTAAAAACACTCCTAATCTTTTAGGAGCCAATCATACCAATGTTTCCAATATAGGTGTAAATCTTACTGATAAATATTTAATGTTTGTCAACACTAGGATTATTATTTTATTAGAATTATTTAGCTGGCAAATAAATGTTTACATAAACTTCCTTAAAACAGTCAACATTCACAGACACCAACAGTTCCATGGCACTGCTTCATCTGGGCTTCTTTAACAAAAGTCTTAATGCTTCATAATAAATATGGAAGAGGATTAGGGCCACTGAAAAAATAACAAAAAAGTAAGTAAACAGATTTTTAAATATTATTTCAGCTTAATATGGAAAATTCTGACTTTTTTCCCCATCAGAATTCTGACTTTAATCTCAGAATGTTGGATCTTAATGTAGATGGGCACCAAGATGTGAGTTGTTTGGGAGGGCCAGTAACACATTGGAGGAAAATGATGGAATTAGGCGACTTTTTACGTGCCTGAGGGGTCCCTGGTGATGCTATTTCATTAATGGAAGAACAAAAGATGATTAAAAAAAGAGAGCTAGTTAGTCTAAAACAGACATGGCTACGGCTTGATGTCAACATGTTTGTTAGCTGTCAGAATTCTAAGATTAAAGTCAGAATTAGTGGGAAAAAGTCACCTTAAGTATTCTTATTCCACCTAAACCTGGTTACCCAGACTAGATTATTCTACACAAATATTACGATATTTCTAAGCTGTTTGTGAAACCTTAATTTAAGGATAAAGAATGATTTTTGTGTCTGTTTGCATCTATATTGTTGACTATATTGCACCCAAAAAGAAAAATATTTCAAGACATAAGGTGTGAAAAATACATCATATTGTTAAATATGAATTATCTGCTGTAACAGCATTGTTTGATCAGATATCTAAATTGGCCCGAATATGATCAGAATCAGATCCAGAATCAGAAGGAATGCATCAGCCTTAGGTTGTTTATTGTTGTTTTTTTTTGTTTGCTTTTTTTTTGAAGAAGAAGACTGTGCACCATTTCATCTACAATCTTGAGCAAAGAATTGCTGAGTGCAAAGATGGAGAAGGTGCATCGTTTCCTTTTCCTGGTGTCTTCCTTTGGGAGGACTTCATAACTGAGGAGGAGGAGAAGGAGCTGGTCGGCCACATGGACCAGGATGTCTGGAATCCGTCGCAGTCCGGTCGAAGGAAACAGGTTATGCTCAATGTTTTTTTTATATCAAATCTGTAAATCTGTTGATTTTTAATGAAAGCTGTCAATTTCTTGTATGATTACAGGACTATGGTCCAAAGGTGAACTTCAAGAAAAGGAAAGTACGTCTAGCAAGCTTTAATGGACTCCCTGCTTTAAGCCAGAAACTGGTGCTGCGGATGCAACAAGTGCCAAACTTAGAGGATTTCCAGCCGGTGGAGCAGTGCAACCTGGACTATCACCCTCAGCGAGGCTCCGCCATTGACCCGCACCTAGATGACTCCTGGCTGTGGGGGGAAAGGCTGGTCACGCTCAACATGTTATCAGATACCGTGCTCACCATGTCTCTGGAACAGGGCCTGCCAGAGCAGGGGCTGACGGGGGAAGTCTGCGTGGCCGTACGGCTTCCTCGGAGGTGTTTGGTGGTGTTATACGGTGAGGCCAGGCACAGATGGAAACACGCCATTCACAGGGAGGACATTCAGGAGCGCCGAGTCTGCAGCACATACAGAGAGCTCTCTGCAGAGTTTCTGCCTGCAGGGCAGCAGGTGAAGCTGGGAGCCGAGCTGCTGAATATTGCTTCGACTTTTAAAGGAACTCCAGTATAAACTCACCATACAGCAAAAGCTCCACATCTTTTGAACTTTAATTAAGTGCACAAAAGTGAATTCTTGCCATTTTTACTGCCCCCACTGCCCAAGCAAGGCAAACAATCTTTAATCTTCCTTAAACTATAGTGAAGAATAATGTAACACTGCTAACTTACTAAAACAGCAATTTTTTGTTTATTTATTCTAATTCTAATGCTAGTAAGAATCCCTCAGGTTTGTTTTCCCCTAAAATAAATTATTTTCTTTTGGTTTATGATGGAGATGGAAAACATTATCCCTCCATAAAATAATTCCTATTCCTTCCACCAGATGGCGATAGAGCATCTTTAGTCTACCTCTGGATTGACGCATCAATTTCTGTAAAGCAATTTGTAAACTAGAGATTTCTAGAATTTTACTCATTATAATAAATATTTTCTATTAATATTTTTAGAGTACTAAGTTTCTGTCCTCAAATAATCTTTTTTTGGGGGGGGGGGGGGGGTGAAACGGACAAGTTATTCCATAAATCTTTCTAAGAATTATGATAAATTAATTCAAAAATAATTTGAATGCTCTGTTGATACAATCCAATATAAGATGACTATTAGTTTCTAGTTTGAACATTTTAGATACATGAAATTATTTTTAAAAAAGAAATTTGAAAATAAAAATACATATTTACTATATTAGGTTTTTGTGAATTGATTGCAATGAATTTGCAGTGATACTTCTATTGACTATTGGTTCTTAAACGCAGGCATCTCCTTGGTTATCTATTACAATCAAATTAAATACTCTATGAGAGAGCTCTGTTATAGAATCTCTCGTAGTTTATAGTCAGCATCCTGACAGGTGTTTCACTTGTTAAGAAACTATCCATTTTTTTTCCTGACTAAAACATGGTGCACAGCTTCAGGAGGGAAACCAGACATCTCTGTTTACCGCTCTGTCTTAATGCAGAGGTTCCCAGGCTGGAAGAGAGAAACATCCTGTCAGGTCTAATCACCTAAAACATCATACATACATACAGGGAAAGAAAGAAGGCACAGAGACAATTAATTTAGTTACTCGCAAAGAGAGTAGGAAGAGACTGCGGAGTTTACAAATCTCCAACCCACTCTGCCGGTCTTCAGCTTTCTCCTCGCTATTTATTGAAGTCAGGGGATTTCCCTAATTACACAAGCTGAGGTTTAACTAAAGGGAAAGGGAAACAAAATTATCTTACTTTAAACCTCAGCACATATGTTAAAACAAAGCATGTGGTTATTTTACAATTGAATTGTTCCAAGAACACATGTTTAGAAGAAACATATGATAGAGGATAATAATAATAATAATACATTTTATTTGAAAGCACCTTATCAAAACACAGGATGTACAGGTCTCTTTCACAACCCATCCGTTGCATGACCTTTATCTGGAACGATCTTTAGCAAGAGTTAATAAACGATGAATCACACATTATACATCATAATAGTTCATTAGTACACAACCCATGAAACACAAACGGAGTATAAAAAAAAAATTATAACACATCCCTCCTGTTAAATGTGGGTTTGCTCTGAAGAATAAGCCACTGGGCTCCTCATTAGCTGCTAAACAATCTCCTGAAATGTTGATATTATTGTTGCGCTGATGCCATTTTTTTGACCCAATACCAGATACCTGGCTGTGTAGTGTTGGCCCATACAGATACCATCTGTTTGAAATTGATGTGTGTATATATATATATGAAGAACTGCAGACTACTTGGATGTAAAATAATTGCCATCATGACTTTGTCAAGCTGCTGCTTACCTTTGTGAAGCAGGAAAAAGACGAATACAAAGTGAATCCAGTAGAAATTGTTATTGACTACCTACAATAGGTGACAATAGTTGAATAAACTTTTGAAAATGGTATCGTTTCCCTTTATTAGTTGGTACTCGCCGATACCTATGCTACCATTTTAGTGCTGGATCGGGGCCCCGTCCAATACTGGTATCAGTGCAACACTAGTTGATATGTGCAGAAACTGTTGGTTCCTTCAAATCAGTACCGCAGTCATCGTGTCTTGAACCTCAATTATTAAATAATTGCTGATTAAAGCACAAGATTGATTGATTGATTGATTGACTTTATTGACCTAACAGTGGAGAAATTTACTCATCAGCTCAAATACTGAAAGAAGAAGAAGGTGCATGGGATATATACAGTATATACAGTGCATCCACATATGACATTATTTAGTTTTTTTATAGTGGGATCATTATACAGCGAAGTTCTTTAACAGGGATCCACGACCCCTAGGGGATCGACAGAAGTACTGCATGGGGGTTAGGGCTGGGTAAAAACATCAATATAATTGATTTTGAATTGATACCTTTACATTTTTGCAAAATCAATGTCTAGGGAATGCGATCGATTAGTTTTAAGATGCGTGACGTTCACATTCAAATGAGCTGGAAAGATGCATTCAAGATCATTTCAAGCCAGACGGCTGCAAATAGGTTGACTGAAGACATTAACAAATGGGGGCTGAGCAGAAAACACCCTGTAGTTGTTACAGACAATGCTGCAAATATGGTTTGTGCAGTGGAGATAATGCCGCTCATGCATGTGAGGCTTAACTTTTTCACTTTTCACAAACAAGTTTGTACTTATGAGACAGTTTTGTTCACATCTCAAGTTTAAACTGTCTGATTTTCAAGTTTGCACTTTGTGTTTAAGGTGACTCGAAAAAATAAAATACATGAGTATCTTAAAACATACCGGTAGTTGAACCACTTTCATTATTGTAAAAATAGATTGAATCGAAATTAATCGATTTAGAACTGTATGAATAAAAATCGAATCCATTCAGGACTTGGGTGAGAATACCCATCTCTAATGGGGGTCGCGAAAGTTCTGGTTGATTAGAATTTTTTTTTTCTATATTCCCCCTGCAATTTTTTCCACTAATTGAAATGTATTTAAATACACATTAAAATGCCGGACATAGTAGCTAAGATGCATCCTAAAGTTCCAAGTTTGTGTTGCAGAAACAACACACATGCCCCAAATTGCAAAACTTGTGGGATGATGTGTACAAGGCTATAAACCAAATCTTTCAAGAGGTTAGGAACGGTTGCAATACTCAGTATTTTTCCAGTTGGGCTGCAAGAATGAGCCAAATCATGTCTCTTAAATGTTCTTCTTACAGCGGCCCTGAAATATGGAAGCAAATCGTTACCATATTTAAAATGAAAAAGCATTTCCAGACATGCTTTTTCATTTTAAGAACGTGGCTGCATTTTTTGGCTCATAAATGAAATTAGTAATTAGTTGAAGGTTGAATTCTAAGACTGAAGTGATTGGTCGTTTATCAGATTTAATATTTTATTTAAAAAAAAGAAATTCTAAATTCTGGGACAATATAGTCTGATAAAGAGTATATATATATATATATATATATATATATATATATATATATATATATATATATATATATATATTTCTTTTTTTTCCCCTTTTTTTTCCCATATTAAACTGAAATAATATGTAAAACCCAGTTAACTTTGTTTTTTTCCAGAGGCCCTAATCCTCTTCCGTATCAGATAGTTTGTGTCTATTAATTTTTTAATTGTCGCGTGCTTGTTGACCGTGCTTTTATTTTGAAAGTGCAGCCGGACATCCGTGTTTACTGAAGCTGCTGCTCAGCCCTGTTTGTCGGTGTCTCGGTGGTTTTTAACAGCCAGCTCCGCTGAAAGCCGGCTCATCTCAGGGAGGTTTCGCCCGCCGTCACCAGGAGGAGTCAGGGTCGCTTTTCTGGGCTTTTCAGGAACAGAAACTCAGCGGCTATGTCTGCGGCTCAGCCCCGGAGCGGAGGCTTCTTTAAAAGCGGCTATAGCCATTAGCTCGCTGCTTCGGGTCCGCTGACTGGTAGCTACAACAGGCTTTTTGTTCTGCTCCCGGACAGCCTCTGCATGACAAACCACCCCTACTGTTCCGAGCGGACAGGGCGGTAGCACAGCGGCTGCTTTATCGGGATCCCCCCCCCCCTCATCCCTCCTAGGTTGTGAACCCCTGCCGTGGGGCTAACACCCCCCCTCCCCCGGTCATCCAGCGAATCCATGGCAGGAAATCCGAGGAGGGGCGCCGGGCTCATCGGCTTGATGAAGGACGCCTTTCAGCCCCACCAGCAGCCTCTGCAGCCCCATCAGCCCGCTGTGGTCGATAAGAAAATGGTGGAGAAATGCTGGAAGCTCATGGATAAGGTACAGACTCTGGCTTTAAACAGATCAAATACTCAACTAAACGTTTTTTTAATGACTTTAAACATGTCAGTTCTTCAGCATCATAAAACAGTTTATTTCTCACTTCCTTCTCGATTCTCGATCATATCAGAGTTATAACCTAAACACCATTTATCATTAACCTTTCTTTTTGTTATAAATCTATCCGGCTTCCTGTACATCCCTCCTATAAAGGGAAAACTCTGCATAACAGTTCCTGCAACAGTGACCAAAGTTAAATGCCCCCATCTGTTTCTTTTTACGTCATAACCACAAACTTTAGTGTATTTTAGGGAGAATTTAAATGTAGACTAACACTGAATAATTTGAATTTCTCCGCTGTGAGATCAATAAAGCTCATCTAATCTAATCTAATCTAGATCCATATTTAGTGTAGGTGATTCTTTCTGGAAATCACTAGGTCAGATAAGAGTCACCTAGGTGATTTCTACGGAAGACGATTAGGGCCAATGGAAATAAAAAAGTTGGTTTTTAAATTTTATTTCAGTTTGATATTGGAAAAAGTCAGAATCTCAGAATTTTGGATCTTAATGTAGATGGCACCATGAAGGACTCTCTGCTTCACTGACAAAGATGAGAGTTGTGTGGGAGGGCTGGTAACACATTGGTGGAAAATTAAGGAATTGGGCAGAATTCTTTTTTCCCCCTCAAAATTCTGACTTTAATCTCAGAATTCTGACTTCAATCTCAGAATTATGGCTTTTGTTCCTCAGAATTATGGCTTTTGTTCCTCAGAATTATGGCTTTTGTTCCTCAGAATTCTGACTTTAATCTCAGAATTCTGACTTTAATCTCAGAATTCTGACTTTAATCTCAGAATTCTGACTTTTGTTCCTCAAATTCTGACTTTAATCTCAGAATTCTGACTTCAATCTCAGAATTCTGACTGTTGTTCCTCAAAATTTTGACTTTAATCTCAGAAT